TTAAGTTTTGTTTTCCTTTAATATAGGTATTTCCAAATAATAAAACCAATTAAGTTTCACTTATATTTGCAAATCAAGCAAGGATTAGGATATTTATGGTGTCTAAGTGGTTTTATCTGCTCATTCTTCATAGGTCATTTTCATTTAACACCAGCATCCAACTTTCTTTTTCTAAGAMTTTGATACTCTAGGTACTTTATACAAAAAGAATCATATATTTTYCCTCTGTGACTGGCTTATTTCACTTAGCATAATATTTTCAAGGTTCATATATATTGCATGTATCAAAATCCACCCTCACCCCCCCCCCCGCCTTTTTTTTGGTGTGGTATTGGGGATTCAACCCAGTGAGCTCTATAACTACTCTACATTCCCAGCCCTTTTAATTTATTTATTTATTTTATTTTGAGACAGGGTCTCATTAAGTTGCTCAGGTTGGCCTTGAATTTACAATCTTCCTGGCCTCAGTTCCCCAAGTAGCTGGGATTACAGGTGTATACTACCAGTTCTATACAATCCCTTGCTTTTAAAAGGGTGAATGATAGTCCATTTCATGTAATATCATACTTTGTTTATCCATTCWTCCGTTGATGAATATTTGGGTTGTTTCCATCTTTYSGTAATTGTGATGAATGCTGATATGAGTTATGGTATACAAATATCTGTTAAAATCTCTGCTTTTAATTCTTCATTGTATATGCCCAGAAGTATAATTACTATATCAAATATAGTAATTTTATGTTTAATTTTTAAAGAAACTGTTATTTTGTTTTCCAGAGTGGTYGTACCATTTTATATTTCAGCCAGCAATGTGCAAGGGTYCCAATTTCTTCACATCCCTCCCAACACTAGTTATTTATTTATTTATTTTTGTAATAGCCATCCATATAAAATATAGTGAGTATAAAATGGTAGGTACTTCATGGTGGTTTTAATTTGCATTTCCCTAATGATCAATGATGCTGAACATCTCATGTGCTTACTGGTCATCTTTACATTTTCTTTGTTGAATGTCTATCCAAAATCTTTGCCCATGTTTTTGAATTGGGTTTCTCTGAACTGGTTTTGTCTTCAAAACCATTTAGGTCTCAAAAGTAACCTAATCCTTGCTCAATTTGCAAAAATAAGTATRTTTCTCATAAATACATATACTAAAGGAAAACAATATAAGTTAATAAATCAGAAGCAACCAACAAACTTACATAATTAGGGAGTTTCCCATTTGAAAGACAAAATAAAGCAGCCATACAGCTGTAACCAATCAAAGGCTTTATTAGCTTTCCTTTTATATTTGTAAACACCTCCTCCTCTCATTCCTCCATGGACCTCCTGATCTCCTTCTGATTTGGAGCTGCTGAATTCACTAATCACTTTTGAAAAATGTTTTGTGCCTCAGTTTACTTACTTTCTGTCAATGATAACCAGGGGTGGCAAGGAAGGGAGATGGGGASTTATTTTCAATGGTTGTGGAGTTTCAGTTTGGAAAGATGAAAAAGTTCTAAAGGTGGCTGATGATAATGATTGCACCACAGTACAAATGTWCTTAATGCCACTGAACTACAAACTTTAAAATGTCTAAAATGGCCAACTTAATTTTATTTTTTTTGTATTTTTCACCACAATAAAGAAATGAATCTCTAACAAATATGTTCATTGAAAAAAGCTTTAAGTTGGGAACGGTGGTGCACACCTGTAATCCCAGCAGCTCAGAAGACTGAGACTGGAGGATCGTGAGTTCAAAGCCAGCCTCAGCCACAGCGAGGTGCTAAGCAAATCAGTGAGACCCTGTCTCTAAATAAAAYACAAAATAGGGCTGGGGATGTGGCTCAGTGGTCAAGAGCCCCTGAGTTCAATCCCTGGTACCTCCCCCATCCCCCCACCAAAAAAAAAAAAAAAAAAAGAAAGAAAGAAAGAAAAAAACTTGACTCAGAACAGTATGTAAAGAATGTTTTTTTTAAAGGGAGGGTTCCATATACAAAATGTGCTGGTATATAYGTCAAGCATCTCTGAAAGGCGACACCAACAGACGGTCCAAGACTGGTTGTCTCTGAGGAGAGATACGGAGTGGCTGGGGGTCAAAAATGCGAAAGAGACTTACTTTTGACTTCATACCTGCTTGTGCATTTTGTGCCATGTMCATTACCCAGCCAGATAAATGGTGATGATTTTTAGTGTGCTTAGTCCTTAGTAGGCCCCCCTGGGGAGGCTGAACTCTTATTCCTGAGGTGCTGTCCCTCTCAGAGCATGTTTTGGAGTGCTCCTCTTCCACCTGCCTTCCAAGCCCAGGGTGTTGTTTTGCTGCCCTCCATGGYAGCAAATCCACAGGGTGGAACTAAACTTTGGAAACCGTCCCAAGTGGTTCAGAGCCAAGTCTGGTGGTTGTTGATTTTGACTAGAGAGTAGATGACACAGTTTATTTATTTGTTTTCTGCCTCATTTCACCAAGGAACTGAGGCCTCAAGCTGGTCAAAAAGCCAAAATTGAGGCCTCAAGCTGGTCAAAATTGCCTTATGTGGTCTGGAGACTATGTGCTGAGAGGAGTCCCAGAAATGTCCTCAGTAACATCATAGAAATGGGTGTGCAATCTCCTACATGGATTAGTTGGGTTCTTTGGGCTGTAAGTGACCAAAACCAACACCGAGGACTCAGTAACATCATAGAAATGGGTGTGCAATCTCCTATATGGATTAGTTGGGTTCTTTGGGCTGTAAGTGACCAAAACCAACACCGAGGACCAGGAGAGCTTAGTAGCCTAAAGTCAGGAAGGACATAAAAGGTGCTGTGAAATCTAAGGAAAGTCCTGAGCGGGAAGCAGAGTCCCAGGCGCTGGAATTGAGGACTACTCCTCTCCAGGTTTCTTTGCCTCCTGCACGTAGACCTCTGTGTCTCCCTACACCTCCCAGGGAACAGGAAACACCCACCACTCCAGGCTCTAGCTTAATAAATCCAGTTCCAGCTCTAAATTCCAGGATGGTCTCTGATTGGTCCTGCTCAGGGCCCATTCTTGAGCCAATCACTACAGTCAAAGGGATGCAATAATAGGACCAACTGGGATCAGAGTTACATATCTGGTCTTTGGGGTGGGGGTGGGAGGTAGGAAGGAGGTGCAGCATTTGTCATCAAAATAAAGGGATGGGCAAGAAAAGCTTACAGGCCTACTTTGAATGACAAGGACAACGGATGGTRCTGCCTGGGATGTGTTAAGTATCCACACAGCCTCCAGAATCCTCCAGGAGCATGCAGACTAGTTTGGGAGCYGAGACACAAAAATAACCACAACACAACAGCTTGCACTGACTCGAAGGTTGGATAAGAATATCTGGAACTCCCATCCACCTCRTAAGCTTGTCTTGTGGATAAAAAAATTAGACACTTAATGTGAAACGGCTTTAAAAGACAGCAGTTACAAAGCCTTTCCCAATCTACCTGGCACACTGTTACCCAACCTGAGGCCAAAGCATGGCCCCACAGCCTCCTGAGCAACCAAGTGAGAAAGGGGTTGCTGGTCATAAGTATGAAGTGTTCAGTGGAGTGGTCCACTGTAGGTGGTCAGTACCTGTAAGGTATTGTTATTATCATTGCAATGTGTATTATTGTTGCCTGGGCCTCTTAATCCCTATCAAGTGGGTAGACTTGGCAAGGCTGACCAGCCCCACTCTATAGCTGAGGATCCTGAGGCTCTGAGAGGTGAAACTTCTAGAAACTGTTGCTACTGGAATTGGCAGGACCAGCCATGGTAGATAGATGGTAGGACCAGCTATGGGCTCCTAATCCAGGGTTCTATTCCCAGGGTCAGCATTCCAGAAGGAACAGGCTTAGGAAAGGCTTGAGTCCAGCAGGTGGAGGTGAGGAGACAGCCAGTGGATGGAGAACTGTGGGTGTTCTTTGGGGGTCAGCAAGTGGTTTTGCTGAGGGGGACTGTGAAGGAATAGGCAAGCCCTCTCTCGGGCTTCATTCCTGTTGGGGGCCAGACCATCATGAGGGTGGGATGTGACTGGGGCTTGTCAATCCTGGCTGTCCTCAACTTTCTGAGGCCTGAGCTTCCTCAGGTGCTGGGCCCCCACCCCCAGAGCTCCTCTCCTGCACCTTGTTCTCGGGCCCATGCATTCTCCTCTATAAATACCAGCTCTGGTATTTCCGGTTGGCAGCTGCTGCTGCCAGGGAGATGGCTGGGTTGACACACGGCTCCTGACAAAACACAAACCCCTGGTGTGAGTGGGTGTGGGTGGTGTGAGCAGGGGGATGAATCACAGAGGAGGTGAGGGGGACAAGGGGGCAGGAGCCAGGCAAAGTTGGTGCGGAGGTGGAACTACACTGCAGTTGGAAATGGAGAGTTCAGCAGACTCTCTGTGGTAATCATCTTGCTGCTTATAACTCGAGCCACCCCCCCAGCAGGGGGGAGGAGGAGGGCCTAGAAGACTCCAGAGGGAAACTGAGACTCAGAGCTAGAATCCACGTGCCAAAGGATATTCATGGGCCCGCCAGCTCTGGCCAGGATTGTTCTCTGCCGGCCAGGCACCCTCCCACTTTCCTTGCCTGCCTAGAGACCCCTCTGGTTTGGCCAGTGGACTCTTSGTGTTTCCCTGGACCTTCCAAACCTCCAGAGAATCTTTAGAAATAAGGTGACTTGGGACCTTTCTTGGGTACAGGCCTTGTCCATTCAAATGAGCCAAAGTTTCTCCCTGGAGAAAAAAGGGGAGCCTCAAACTAAATGGAAGTCTAGCTTGCTCTCTCCCTAGGGCAAGGCAGGCACCTAGAGGCGGCAGGGGGCCCGCCTCGGGTTGCAGGAGAGCTCATCACCCTGGTGAAGCTGTCGGCAGGCCTGTTTGCAGCGCTTCTCAGCCCCTCGCACGGCTCAGGGGCGCAGGCCTCTTCGGGGGAGCTGGCCTCCCCGCCCCCACGGCCAAGCGGCCGCCCTTTCCTGGCAGGACAGCGGGATCCTGCAGCTGTCAGGGGAGGGGCGGCGGGGGCTGATGTCAGGAGGGCTACAAATAGTGCGGACGGCTAGGGGCTCCGTCTCCCCTCTCTGCAACCACTCTCCAGCCGGCTGTCGGCCCGCTGCCTCCTCCGTACGCCCACCCAGCCTCGCCCGCGCCGCCACCATGAGCCAGGCCTACTCGTCCAGCCAGCGCGTGTCCTCCTACCGCCGCACCTTCGGCGGGGCCCCTGGCTTCTCGCTCGGCTCCCCGCTGGGCTCGCCGGTGTTCCCTCGCGCAGGCTTTGGCACCAAGGGCTCCTCGAGCTCGGTGACATCCCGCGTGTACCAGGTGTCGCGCACGTCGGGCGGGGCCGGGGGCCTGGGGTCGCTGCGGGCCAGCCGGCTGGGGTCGACCCGCGCGCCCTCCTACGGCGCGGGCGAGCTGCTGGATTTCTCGCTGGCCGACGCGGTGAACCAGGAGTTCCTGACCACACGCACCAACGAGAAGGTGGAGCTGCAGGAGCTCAATGACCGCTTCGCCAACTACATCGAGAAGGTGCGCTTCCTGGAGCAGCAGAACGCCGCGCTCGCCGCCGAGGTGAACCGGCTCAAGGGCCGCGAGCCGACGCGAGTCGCCGAGCTTTACGAGGAGGAGCTGCGCGAGCTGCGGCGCCAGGTGGAGGTGCTCACCAACCAGCGTGCCCGCGTCGACGTCGAGCGGGACAACCTGATCGACGACCTGCAGCGTCTCAAGGCCAAGTGAGGGCCCGGCGGCCCCAGACCCTCTTCCCCCGGCAGGGCTCCACTGTCAGCACACTCCTTTCCTGGCCAAGGTCCCCTTAATCCCCAGGTCCTTCGCATGTGCTCTCCTCTACACAGCAGATCTTAGGGATGTAGATCAAGGGATAGAAATCAGAGGCCCGGTGCCCTGTGGGCAGCTGGGAATCTAAGCTGCTGGGGGGTGGTGGGGCAGAGATGGACTGAGGAAGGGCTGGGGAATGGGGGTGGGGAGGGGAGTTTGGTGGGAGGTAGGAAAGCTGGGCAGGCTGAGAAGTGGGGGAAAGTCAGCAAAAACTCTCAGCTCAACTGTGATGAGGCCCTGGGGAGGGGAGGAGCAGGGAGAGGGGAGCTTGACTCCTGGGCCTCCCAGAGGCTGTGGCATCACAGGGTTAAGCTGAAATAGAGGGGGAAGTGAGCAGGAGGCCCTGGGTCTGAAAAATTACGGAGCACTAGTTAGTAGGCTCCACCAACATCCAGTATGAAAAGGCTAAGCATATTCATGGGTCTTGCTTCTGATATTCCAAATGAGCAGTCACCCTCCTGCCACCAAAGTCACAAATATTAATCAAGCTGTTACATGGGCCAGGGTTAGACTGAGAACCAGGAACCCAGAGGTGAATAAAATAGATACACTTTCTCACCCAGAGAGGTCACAGTCTTCAGGAACATAGACTTCAAGGGTGTGGCTACAGGACAGAGATTTGGCCACTTCCTGTCCCCCACCCCCACCCCCCATGGACCGGCCTCTGCCACTCCCTTTCTGGGCCTCTTGTTTCTACCCATCAGCCAGGCCTTCTCCCTCTGTCCTGAGTCCACTCCCTGATCTGTCAGTACTGGCAACTCTATCCCAGTAACTGTCTATCCTATCTGTCTTGGTCAGGCTGCAGGAAGAGATCCAGCTGAAAGAAGAAGCAGAGAACAATCTGGCTGCCTTCAGAGCGGTAAGCCCTCTTTGGTCACCCAGAAGTCTTCCCACTTCTGTCCCTCCTGAGTGTCCCTTTGCTGGACCTGGGTTATCACTGACCTTTATATTGGATCTCTTCCAGGATGTAGATGCAGCCACTCTAGCCCGCATTGACCTGGAGCGCAGAATTGAATCTCTCAACGAAGAAATTGCGTTCCTTAAGAAAGTACACGAAGAGGTACTAGGGGGTTCTTGGGTGATGGTGAAAGCAGATGGGAATGAGGGGGTGCCAGGGTCCTCCGGGGGGCCTGCAAGGGAACTGAAGCCCAATCACAACCTGCAGGAGATACGTGAGCTGCAGGCCCAGCTTCAAGAACAGCAGGTCCAGGTGGAGATGGACATGTCCAAGCCAGACCTTACAGCTGCCCTTAGGGACATCCGGGCTCAGTACGAGACCATTGCAGCTAAGAACATCTCTGAAGCTGAAGAGTGGTACAAGTCCAAGGTGGGTGGCCTGGCCCAGGGACTTGGGCACCTCTGTTCCCTCAATCCCAGTTTGGAGGTGCTGCTTGTGGCCACATCCATGAAGGAGGGTGAGCCCAGTGCCATGCTTCCTTGTCCACCCTATTTGCATCCTGCTCCTGCTTATCTCAGGGACTCTCTCTCTGCCCTCAGGTGTCCGATCTGACCCAGGCAGCCAATAAGAACAATGATGCACTGCGCCAAGCCAAGCAGGAGATGATGGAATACCGGCACCAGATCCAGTCCTACACCTGCGAGATTGATGCTCTCAAAGGCACTGTGAGTCTCCGCCTACTTTCATAAACCCAGCCCATTTCTACAGCTCACACCTTCATTCTGTGACCTTGGATCTAGTAGAGACCCTCTCTGGGCCTCCATCTCAAGTCTACAACAGGGGTAAAACCAGATGGGTGGATTCCCAGTTGGGCACTAAGGATTCAGATGGTTCCTAGGACATCTCCCTGTGTAGGGGTGAGGGTAACAAACATAGATGCTCCTTTTTATGTTGTTTATTCTTTGAGTGTCCACAGAAGACTTCGTTTGAGTTTATGTTTTCCTGGCTAAGAAGCCTTTGACAACCCCTGGACATGACTCTCTGGAGTTACCACCCATCCCCAAGGCCATGTCTCTTTCCAGTCTGGCTGATGGGTAGAAACAAGAGGCCCAGAAAGGGAGTGGCAGAGGCCATGCCCAGGCCAAATCTCTGTCCTGTAGCCACACCCTTGAAGTCTATGTTCCTGCAGACTGTGACCTCCCTGGGGTTAGAAACTATTTTATTCACCTCTGGGTTCCTAGTTCTCAGTCCAAGCCTGGCCCATGTAACAGTCCTCCTCCCTGAGCATGCTCTGAGCCTGCTCTTGACCTGAGCTTCCCCTCACCCCTGCAGAATGATTCCCTGATGAGACAGATGCGGGAGCTGGAGGACCGCTTTGCCAGTGAGGCCAGTGGCTACCAGGACAACATCGCACGGCTGGAGGAGGAGATCCGGCACCTCAAAGATGAGATGGCCCGCCATCTGCGCGAGTACCAGGACCTGCTCAATGTGAAGATGGCCCTGGATGTGGAGATTGCCACCTACAGGAAGCTGCTAGAGGGCGAGGAGAGCCGGTGAGGAGCAAGGCAGACGCTGGGGGAAGGTTGCTGGGGGGGTCCCAGTCCTGCCCCCAGGGGGCTCCAGATCACCTCCATGAGACTTGAAAGCAAATTTATACGCAAGGCCACCTTTCTGCTCATTGCAGAGAATTAATCAAGGCCACCAGGGTAAAAAGTGATGTAATTAACAGCTTTTATAAAAAGAGAAATGTAAGTATTCCCTTATCCACCTTTAGAATTAAGAACCAAGCAGCATAAAATCATATTTCGCAATCAGTAATAAAATATTACTGCCAGTCAAGGGAGAGATGAAGGCAGAACAGGGAATGAGGATGAAAGGGAGGGGGGAGATGGAGACAAATGAGACAGGAAGAGCCAGAAAGCCTTGCACATGGGTAGGCTAAAAGAAGGGCTGAAGAAATTTGTGCACACACGCACACGTGCACATGCTCAAAGGAAAAGACACAGAGGATGTGCTACTAGGAGCRCACCTCTAGACAATATCCAACTGGAAGGGACATGAGGGAACCTTTAGGGTGATAGAAATGTTCCATATCTGGAGCTAGACCAGTGGTTATGTGGATATAGGCATTAATCAACTCTCATCATTGTACACTAACGATCTGTCCATTTCACTGTATATAAATTTAGCTTTAAGACAGGTCAATTACTTCCAAAAAAAGTTACCCACTGATACTCATAAAAATTATATCTGAAATTTTTTTTTAAAAAGTGGCAGACATGTTTAGATATGGACTTACACATTAAGAGAGGTTTCAGGTTTTGTAGAATAACGTCTACCAGATGACCTTTTAAGGTAGCTAAAGGTGCATTGACTTTTCCCAGCACCAGGCGTAAATGGTCAGCTCCTGGAACTGGCCTGTCTGGAGGGTGGGCACACACAATGATGTCACAGCTGCTCTTCATACTCTTTCAGTGCCAGGAGCAAGAAGGAAATGCCGGTGAACTGCAGGGTGCAGAGAGGTTGGGTGTCATGCTAGCAGGTCAGGGTTGGAATGCGTGATCTTTCTAGAAGGGACAGTTACTGGGACAGCTAGAGTTGGGCTTTGGCCCCAAGCCCTACTGTAGGGGCAGTGGGAGTGCCGGGATCAGTGGGACTGGGATAGCTGAGGATTGCGTTTAATGAGGGTCAGGGTGAACCTTGATGGGTGGCCACAGGGAGAGACGGGAGGAGAATGAGAGTGTCCTTAACCCTTTGGGACTTGGTCTCTTTCCTTTCAGGATCAACCTTCCTATCCAGACCTTCTCTGCTCTCAACTTCCGAGGTGAGTGTGTGGTAGGTGGTGGAGGTGGGGTCATAGGGACAGGAGTCCAGCTTGGATACTGCCCAAGCCCACCAGGAGGGGAGGATGAAATCCTGGGGCTGGGCTGGGGCTGGGGCCAGGCCAGGGAGAGAAAGAGGCCTGCCAAGGTTAGGTGGGAAAGTTTGGGTAGAAACAGATGAAGTGCCTGTCTGGGAAAAAGAGAGAGGTTTTTATTAGACCAGGTTGTCTTATATTATATTAACCATGTCCCTTGTACCTTCAGAAGAATTGAGCCTCAGRAAACTGTCTCTGTTCTAAATCCAAACTCTGGAAGTACCAGGGGTATCTCCGGGGACCTAGAAGTAGGAGCATCTCCCCTTCTCTGGCCAGAAGGAACCCACTGCCCATTGTCTGTCTGGCATGTTGCCAAGTACTCTCTGACTATTTGTTGAGAACCTCCAGTTTACTGGAGCAAGATGTTGGATTCATGTTTGAAAAAATGAAGCCAAATCTTAGCAAAGCCAAACAATGAAAAGAACGAGCTCTTAAGGCATTCTGCCATCCTAACATCAGTAATATGCAGATCGAATGGCTTTCCAACCCYAGAGAGCAGAAAAACACGCTTTAATGATACATTAGGAAAGCAAGTCGGAGTGCTTGGCAGCTTCTCCTTTCCTAGATCAAACCTCTTATATCTTCGATGTTCATTTCCATCAGGGAAAAAATACACGCCCTGCTCCACCCAGTTAGAACGTTCATCACAGGCTAGTTGCTTGCTAAGAAGTCTTAGGAACGTCAGACTCATGATACCAAGGACCCAAATTTGACTCTCTCTGAAACTCAGGACCTTTCTTTTTAGTTAGTTGTTTATACAGACAACAAGTGTGATTTTTTTGCATTTAAAATCATTTAATGCCTTTTCAAATCAATACCTCTGTGGTGATGATAGGAAAAGTCTCATTGTCACCATTTCACAGTGAGGAAATTGAGGCACAGCAGGGCAATGATTTGGCATGATGTAACATGACTGAGTCCTGTTCTGACTCACTTTCATTAAGACATCAAACTGCTCATCTTGTCCTAAAGAGGGCTGGGCTCCTGCAGATCTTCCAAGAGGGTGCCTCCAGACTAAGCTTTGGGGTTCTAATGATCTTGGAAGAAGAGAGTCCCAGGACACAAACTCTTGTAGGGTTTTCCTGGAGCCCAGGGAGGAGAGGAAGCCAGGAGCAGTTGGGAACATGAATGCTGCACCTGGATCTTGGGGATCCCCCACCCTCCAAAACCAGCACACATGGTGCTACCTGTTGACTCCTAAGCCCGTTTCAACCAAGACATGTCCCCAAGATCCATAGGGTCACCTTCTGGGTGCTGGGCTTAAGGACAGGTGCTAGTGTCTAGAAGTAAAAAGCCCATCTTGGGGGATGGGAGTCTTCCAGGACTTTGGTTGCTGTAGCCAGAGGTAGGTGCCCAGTCTGATGCAGCCCAGTCCTGGACTTGCTCAAGCTGAGTGTGTGGTGGATCTATTACAGAAACCAGCCCTGAGCAAAGGGGTTCTGAGGTGCACACCAAGAAGACAGTGATGATCAAGACCATTGAGACCCGGGATGGGGAGGTGAGTGGGTTCTCTGGCCCCTCATTCTTGGTGGAGACTGCAGAGTAACTGGGGGACTGTCAGCCAGGTGTCTTCTACCAGCTCAGCTGGTCCAGGGCCCTGGCTGGGGACAAAGCAGGTACTGCCACACAGTGGTGGGGTGCATGGGGCTGAGACTCCTCTTGGTCAGCAGTGGGCTGGACTGGGCTTCTCTTTCTTCCCAGGTCGTCAGTGAGGCTACACAGCAGCAGCATGAGGTGCTCTAAAGCCAGAGACCCTCAGACAACATCCTGGCCCCCTCCTCACCGCCTCCTGAAGCCAGCCTCCTTCCATCCTGGGAGCCACACCCAGCCACCTTCCTCCCTCACAGCCCCTGACCCTTCCTCACTGGCCACCCCTCCTGGTTCCCATCCTGTCCAGCCCCAGAGAGCTCTCCAGCGGCCTTTGTGGACCCCATGATGAGTCCTAGCTGTTGGAAGAGGGTGAGGCTGGCCCAGGGCTGAATGGAACCAGCTGGAGTGGTGACCCTACCCTCTCACCTCTGTGACCTCAGGCTCTAGTCTCTGCTTTGGAAAGGGCCCCAGAGCAGGGCATATGGACCCCGAAGTGTCAGGACAGAGCCCCATGGACCCCCACCCTCAGCCTGGGTCAGAGAGAGAAAGGGCAGCCTCATCAGAAAGCCAGGCAGAGGCCAGGGCAACTGGCCCCTGAGGAGTGTGAGGGGCCTGAGCCTGGCCATGCCCTCCTCCTTCCTTTCCCTAGCGCAGGGTGGGCTTAGAAAGCAGGGGCTGCCAGAGGAAACCCCCGAAGGTGCTGGATGTGGGAGCATGAGATGCAGAAGGAGAGAGGGTGGGTGAGATGCTGGAGAGGAGAGGAGAGGAGAGAGGCAGAGAGGGGCTCAGGTTGGCAGGAGGACGCCACCTCCCCACGCCTGCCCCTCCTGCTGCAGGGGCTCTGAACTGAAACAATAAAGAGATAAGCACAAGCTGCCATGTCCCCTGCTGTCCTAACTATCTGGTCTCCTGGGGCAGGAGGTCTAGGGCCCTGTCACACCAACCATTACCCTGAGATGGACCATGCCACCTTCTTGCCCATCCAGACTGTCCCCTGGGCCTCCCAACGCTGCTGTATGTGCCCAGCATAGGGAGCAGGGAGCTGGGAGCAGGGAAGCAAACAAGGGGCTTTTGTTGTCGAACTAGAAATATTTCCCGGTAGGTTGTGATTCCTGGACTAGCCCCTTCTGCCCATTATCCTACCTGCAGGTGAAGGTGGGAGGCGTGGCTGTCCTCTTGGAAGGAAGCCACAGCTCCCTACACACTGGCTCTGAAGGAGGATGTTCTTGATCCCTTCTCCAAAGAAGCTTCCAGCCTCTTCATTAACCCTACCCTGTCTAAGACTGTTCTATGACAGGGTCCAATTCAGGAAAAACAACATTGTTCAGAAAAATGCAAAGATCTGACTTAAGAAGGCTAGATACTCTAAAAATGTCAGTTCATCCCACCTTCTTCTATAATTCCAGTGCAATGCAATGTCAATTAAAATGGCAAGGGGACATTTTGGGAGAATCAGGGAAGCTAGGAGGGGGGAATATAGGACATATGGGGAAAAAAAGGAAAATCATGGAATAAAACATTGAAATGTATTATGAGGCTAGGATAATTCAAAAATATGTTAACAAAGAGTTAATACACAAATAGTAATAGAATAAAACAGAGTGTTTAAGTGTTAAGATCCATAAACATATGAGACTCTAATATATGTTAGGGGAGTCAATTAATCAATATAAGGGGAAGGCTTAATTGATCTGTATGAGGTTTAGGGAAAATGAGTAGCAAGGGTGTTGGAGGGGGACACGAAGGCTGCCTCTCTTTTTACTCCTTCCAAATAACATATTCCAGGTGGATCAAAGATTTAGGAAACTTGTTGGCTCCATGTAGGCCTCAGGCTTTAGGTTGCCCCTCCAACTTTGAGGGACTATCTTTAAAGGAAATGGCAAGAGGGTGAGATCCAAAAGATGATAGACAGCCTATGGGTGAAATAAACCCAATGAGGTTTTAGTCTTAAGTTCCCGACTCTGTGGCTCCAAACTGGCTTTTCTAGAAACTTCCAAAACCTTTTCTGGAAACCCTGCTTTTCTCCCCTGCTTTGAGGCAGCCCTGGTTCACAAGTTGCTCCCTCCCTCCTTCTAAGAAGGCCCCTTTGACAGGAGGAGCTCTACTCCAGGTCCCCACCTCTGCCACAGAGGACGTGGTCATTCCTTTGCCCCCGTGCTCAAATGGGGTGAGCCCTGTAGGCCTCGGAAATTCTCCAACTAGCCTACAGAAAAACTCCACAGCTCTCAGGAAACACAGAGCCAGAAATGCCATTTCTAGTGTCTTCACATTGGGCAGAAGAAGAGGGATGGGCATGGGGMTTCTTATCCTTGAAACTGTGGGGGCCCTGGAATCTCAGCCGGCCTCTCTGTGAGGGAAATTCTTGGTTGGGACTGGGCCCTGGTGGATAAGGAGGGGAGATATTTGGAGACATTTCTAAAGCCTTGATCCTTCTTTTCCTGAATGAGTTATGTGCACCCAACTGTCCCACAAACGATAAAAGGGACACACAAATCAGGGAAGGTTTTGGAGGCAGCCCCCATGCCCCCCAAAACACTTGGGTACAGACTAGTCACTAGGGTAGAGGGAGGGTAGAATCTTAGACTCTCAGGGTCAGATCTCAGAAATCCCCTGGATAACTCTCCCAGTAAGAAATCTGCTTCCCAAGCCTCGCCGCTGCCTCCTTGATGGTCAGTGAGCTGGTCCTCTGCCTGCCTGGCCACGGTGTCAGAAAACTCCCCATTTGCCCTTCTTCTCTTTACACCTGTCTTCTCTAACTGCTACCCACCTGTCCTGGAGGAAGACAGAGCCACCCTTGGACTCCCAGGGGAAGCATTCTCTGTGTAGAACCTTCCAGACCTGTCCCCCTGGGACCCAGGGAATGGGCAAAAGAAGCCAAAGAAGGCTTGGTTCTCATGTGGCTGTGTGCATACAACCAGACACTCGGTGTCCCCTGCCCCTTCCACACACACCCCGTCACCTCCATGGCAAACCCCTTCCCTGCACTTTGGGGTGCTCTAGGGTCATCTCAAGACTCTGAATGAGGAAAGAGAAGGGCTTACAGAGGACTGACCAGTTAACTTCCCACTGAACCCAAAAAACCAGACCCAGGCCAGCTCCTATCCCATCTGAGGGGAGGGAAGGAGGATGGTGGAAATGGATAGATTCCTGTTCCAGAAACCAAGGGCCCCGTAGACACTTTCCCTCTGTCCATTCTGGCTGCCCTCTCAGCCTTGTCCCTTGAGGCTCTATTCATCCCCCCTCTGACTCACTACAAGCTCACCCAGGGTACAAGTGGAAGGTATTTGTGACCCCTGATTCAACACCTAAATTGTCAGTAACCCAAGGGTAGGGTTTTAATCCATCTTAGTCACTATTCTATACAGAGTACCTAGAAGAGTGCTTAGTACATAGTAGGTATTCATTGAATGTTTACATACTTCTTGAATAAATACATACCACTTTTTTTTTTTTTTTTTTTACATTTCTTGAAGTTAAATATTCACCGAGAAGGACTGATGGTCCCACTTCATTCATTGATTCAATGAACACATATTGAGATTTTCCCACGTTAGTCACTTGGTACACAATTACAATGGAAAGTTAGTGCCTCATAGCCCAGAGAGGTGGGGTGACCTGCCAAGGTCACACAGCAGAGTGTAGCAAAGAAGGACCAGGCCCTGGGCTCCTTGACCTCTGGAGCCTAGATATCTTTCCATGACACCACAGACTTGAGATGGAAAGCCAGGGCTTTTTGGCAGCACACACACCCAGCCTGGCGCCAGGCAGCAGGGTACTGTGGGGCCCATGCTGAGGGACAGACAAGTGCCTTCAAGCCAGCTGCTCTGGGTGACTGGCCTGGCCAGAACCTGACTGCTTCCAGCTGTCTCAGTTTTTGTGGGCTCCTCCAGGAGAGGGCACCAGTTGCACACCAGGGCCTGTGCCCTCCCCACGCAGGCCGGCGGATCCTTGGATGCAAGCCAATTCATGCCCCAGCTATGGACACAGGCAGGCAGGAGACAAGTCATGTTCCGGGCTCTGTACCAGGCCCTTTTAAATAGTTAATATTCATTTTAATATTTAATATAATATTTGAATACCATCACAACCATGTAGGATCATGTAATTCTCTGCTCAAAACACTGAGATGACTTCTCATTTCTCTAAGAATAAAAATGCCATGGCCTGCAAGATGCTAGGCCATCTGGTGCCTGCCAGGTGTCTGATCCAGTTTCCTCCACTTTGCCCTCACTCTCTCTAGCCTTGCTGGCCTGCTGGCTCTTCTGGGAGCCCATGAGGCATATCCTCACCTAGCCTGAAGCCATCTTTCCCTGCATCATTTGCTTGCTTCCCCCTTCAAGATTAGCTCCAATGTTCCAACTCCACCCACCTTATTTGAAAGAACAAGCCCACCTCATATTCCCACCCCCACTCAAAGTACTTAACTCCCAAAATACTTATCTCCTTCTCACGATCTTCACAATTTCTTTATGTCTGTTGAATGTCTTTTCTGGACTATAAGCAACCTGGGGGAAAGGAATCCTTATCTGATTTGTTCACTGCTATAGTCACAGCTCCTGGAAGAGTGCCATGCACACAGTAGGAACTCAAAAATATTTGTTGGATAAATAAATTCTGAGTTGTGCCACTCTCATTTTGCAGATGAGGAAACTTGAGGCTTAGAGATGCTCAGGATCATCTGGTCTCCTTATTCAACTAACTGACCAACCAGACAAGATTCACAGGTTACCCACAACATTCCACATGATTGTTTGAGGCATGGGGTTAGGAAGCTTCAGGTTTACTTAGCTTTTTAAAACAGTCTCTATTCCTTTGTTCTCGATATTCTGTTTGCAATGTTTTCTCCCACATTTTTACCTTTTTAGAATTCAATTTACATTGTAAAATTCAATTCATCATCAGTGGTTGCYTGGGGATGGTGGAGGGGGTGTGGTTGACTACAAAGAGGATTCACAAGCAATATTTAGGGTGGGGGAACTGCTCTGTATGGTCCTGGGGTGGTGCAAGTATGACTCCATGCATTTGTCAAAACCCAACACAAAGAGTAATCTTTAATATATGCAAACTACAAGAAAAAATTATTCCTCAAGGCTCTTAATCTCTATGGATATAATTCAGTATTTAAATTGTTTCTGCTGTACTGTGCTATGTGGTTTTGACTTCAGCATCCTAGAATGAAGGAGGGGATGAAAAGGTAAGGGCTAGAGTGCCTCTCCCATCCTCCAAATGACTTGTGGATTCTTTCAGTCCCTCTCTGACTTCATCCCACAGGCCTCAAGGTCAGGCCTGGGTCTCTCATTGACTGTTTTTTTAACCTTTGATTTTGAGAAATTATTGATTCACATGTGATTGTCAAAAATAATATAGTGAGATCCTGTGTACCCTTCACCAGGTTTGCTTAGCAGGAAGGTAACATTGGTATAGTCCATCCACCTTCTTCAGGTTTACCAGTTTTACACACACTCTTAGGGTATGTGTATGTATGTATACATGTGCACATGAACATTTAGTTCAATGCAATTTTATCACATCTGTAGATTCATGTGACTGTCACCACAGTCAAGTTACAGAACTGGTCTAGCACAAAAATCTCCTTTGGATTTTTATTTTACGTATTTCTCTGCAGTGCTGGAGGTTGAATCCAAGGCCTGTGAATGCTATGTGAGCACTCTACTACTGAGTTATACCCCCAAATCTCCTCAGAACTTTCTATTTATTTATTTATTTTGGGATGTCACAGATTGAAACTAGAGGTGCTCTACTTTTATTATTATTATTATTATTATTATTATTATTATTTTGATACAGGGCTTGCTAAGTTGCTGAGGCTAGACTGGAACTTGAATTTCTCCTGCATCAGTCTCCCAAGTCACTGGGATTACAGGATTTTGTCAGGCTCCTATGGAATTTTACAAAGTCTTGTCTTGATGTTTCTCAAAGTACAACCCTTAGACACATCAGAGTCAGCTGGGCCTTGTGTTAGATGAACAGATTCCTGGGTCCTCCCAGCCTCTCCACTGAACCAGGTCTCTTGGGATGCAGCCTTTCAGCAGGCACCATCCTTGGAGGATCATTGCTCTGGTTAGCCACCCTCCCTGATCCACCCTCCACACTGTGGCTGCCAAAGGCATTCTCCTAAAACACAAGTCTGACCACCCACACCCTGTGGTAGAACCCTATGGTTGCACCCCTGCTCTCAGATAGAGACCTTAGCAACCAAAGCCTTGTCTGGCAAGCCCCAGATCCCTTACTTTCACTGCCAACCCACCATGGGCAATCCCTCCAAACCTTTCTGATTCAGAACTCATTCTCTTCTTTCATCGTGCTCTCATTTTGCTCATGCTGTCCCTCTGCCTGCCATGTCCTTCCCACTCTTTTCTGCCTGTTGCAACCCTATCCAACTAACTACTATTAGTACAGATGAGGACTTGGAGGCTGAGAGAGGTTTGGTGTCATCCAGTGGGAGAGGGCAGGACCGCTGAGAGACCCAATCCACCCAACTGCCAGGCTCCTGGTCTTACTGTTGGCCAGATGTAATGGAGGTGCTGGGTGGCCACTGGTCCTTCGTGCTGGGCAGTCTGCTCCCTCCACTTGAGAGGTGGAGGTGGCCTCTCCGGCCTTCTCTCCCAGCACACGAAGACCATCTTCCTTTCCTCCAGCCACCAGCTGTGTGAGGCTGGGGCTCTGGGACTGAGAGGAGGGAGGAAGGGAAATGGGACTCAGCCCAGGGGTAACTTGATTCCCCTGCGTGGGGCTGAGGTGGTTGGGGGACAGGCACCCCATGAAAGAGGGGGCCTGGAACCAATCCCTAAGGATTCATTTGAGCCAGGGCTGGAAGACTGGCGATGGGGGCTCCTGGAGGGAGAGAAGGAGCCCATGGAGTCCAAGTCCCCTCCTTTGCTGCCCCCTCCCTCCACAGTTCCCTYGCAACGCAACCCGAGCCGGGGGGCCTAAAAATAGCCCCCGAGGCGCAACCGCGGCCGCCCCGGTGACCTTCTGGGTAGCACAGGCCGAAGGCGGGCGGGCAGCAGGAAGGCAGGCCGCCGGCCCCCCAGGACTCGTCTCCCAAGTCACCATCCTCCCGGGTGTCCCGTGGCCGCCTAGATCCAGCGTCCCCCCAGCCCAGCTCGCAGAGGCCATGCAGAAAGCCCGGGGCACGCGAGGCGAGGACGTGGGCACGAGGGCACCCCCCAGCCCAGGGGTGCCCCCGAAGAGGGCCAAAGTGGGGGCCGGCGGAGGGGCCCCGGCGGCCGGGGCCGGGGCTGGGGCTCCCGTCTTCCTGCGACCCCTGAAGAACGCGGCGGTGTGTGCGGGCGGCGACGTGCGGCTGCGGGTGGTGGTGAGCGGGACGCCCCAGCCCAGCCTCAGCTGGTTCCGGGATGGGCAGCTCCTGCCCGCGCCGGTGCCCGAGCCCAGCTGCCTGTGGCTGCGGAGCTGCGGGGCGCAGGACGCCGGCGTGTACAGCTGCAGGGCCCAGAACGAGCGGGGCCGGGCCTCCTGCGAGGCTGTGCTCACTGTGCTGGAGGTCGGAGGTAATGGGGAGGTGGGGCCATCCCTGGCGGGCTGGGGGGAGCTGGAGTTGAGAAGGGTTGCCCAGGCCACGTGGGCCAGGTAGCGGCTCCTCCGCCTTCTTCCCAGGTGCCCAGGCTTTTCAGCTGTGCAGGCCCCAAGTGCAGATCCAGAGGGAAATGCAGGGAAAGGGTGTCAAGGTGCAGAGGCTCCCCCACCGAAAGGTCAGAGGTCAAGGGTCAGCAGTTGGTGAGCCCAGCTTGAGACCACACTGGCCTTTTGGGGAATTCTGTAGTGGAAGCCCTCCCAGCTCTCCTGTAGAGAGAGAAGCCTCCCTGGAGAAATCCTCTTCTTCAGCTCCAGGAACAGACTTGAGAACCAGGCCATGAATCCTTTGCAGGTGTGTGCCTGTCTGAAGGAGGGGCCAGTTCCCCGGGGTCCAGGCTGCACTGTGGAGGGGGTGGGCCACTGCTGTGGCAGGGCTGGTGTGATCAGCACCAGGCAGGGCAGAAGGGTCTGGGACATCAGGAGGTGGAGCCAGGGTGGATTGACAATCACATGCATGCATGTGTGGAATACTCGTGCAGGCTGTGAAGCGCTGGATCTGTGTGGTGATACAAACAGATGTGGGAAAGGGGCGGGGAGAGGTGGGGTGGAAAACCTGTGGACCACGTCCACTAAGGTTCCAGAGTGAATTTGGGGAGGCATGGAATGGGGATGTTCTGGGCAGACCCTTGTGGAGGTACAGTTCCAGGCTGGTGGTCTGAGGCAGAAGGGAAGGACAGGGGCCTGGGCCCTGTGCTTGTGGTTCTGATGGGCCTGGTGGGGATTCTCCTTGGGTCAATATTTGGGCTTCCGTTTTTATTTTCTCATTTCCTGAGTTAGCTGAATGGTTCTTTTCTTGGTCAAAGACAGAGCCTTGGGTAGAAAACAGAATTTTGAGGAAGTAGAATGGGGGAGATGGCAAACAACTGGAAGGAGGTGTCACTGTTCCAGGAATTTGTCAGAGGACATCTCAATCCAGTTGGGTGGTCTCCTATAGGGGCCAATCCTAGGAACCTGGGGAGGAGACCCCAGGATGAAGGGAAGACCTCAGCAGCTAGAGGAAAAAGGAGACTAGGAAACTGAGCTCTCAGCATCTCCTCTCCCAGCCTGACCCTGATCACTTCCCAGGGTCTCCAACTACTGGTTCCTCATGGTCTCTGTGGCCAGACCTGAGTAAGAGAAGGCTAAAGCTAACTTCTCCTGATTGGCTTAGCCACTCTTCAGGTACAGGTTTCTGCAGCCTGGGGTGATGGAGTGGAGTGCATTCTGAGCTGGGGAAGGACTGGACTTACTTAGCTCTGGTCCCCTCAGGAGTAAAGGGTGCTGAAACAACATAAATCAAAGGGTAAGGTATGTACCTTAATGAGAACAGGTGTAGGAAGGGAGAGATATTAGGTAAGATGAAGGAAGGACAGAGAAAGAGCAGTGGTCATAATGTTTGTTTAATGTTGGACAGGTCCACAGAGAACTGCTGCTCCAAACGCTTCCTTTTACAGGTGAGGACATTGTGGACCAGAGGGGAGGGAGATCTACCTAAGACATGCAGCTAGGTATGGCCATCCCATCCCAGGCTCTTAGTTTTGGCTCTGGGGGCTCTTTACTAAGAAGTTCTGAAAAGTGAGAGAGAGGGAGAGAAAGACTGAGTGAGCCTTGCAGTATTTGGGGAGTGTCTGATATGGTACAGGCCTGSCATTTCTTAAGATGGGAGCCTCCTAGTCTGCCTGGTCCCTCCAAGTGCTTAATTATCAGGGTGGCATGGTGGGCAGAGTTCAGCTCTGGCTGGGTTTAACTAGACAGAGGCTGGGTACAGTCTCCAGTCTGGGCTGCTCTGATGAATCACAGGTTTGAAGGTTGTGGGTGAGGAAAAGGCCCCTGGTGCTGTGGGGCTRGATTTGGGGCCTTTGACATTCATGTTAGAATCAGAAGAGGATTGGGCTGCAGCATGTCACATATGAGAACATGTCCAGATTGTACAGACAGAAGACAGCACAACAAACGGAAGCCTCATTCTGTCCCGCTGGAAAGAACCAGGTGGTTAACAATTATACCCTTCCCCCATGATTTGGGGGAGAGAGGCTTGGCTTTGGTGATGTTGGGAGATTCACTGATGAGTCTGGCTTCCATTTCCTTCTATTGCCCACCCCTCCACCAGTCCCTTCCCAGTGACAGCTCTTGAAYAGAGGCAGCTGCACAAATATCTCAGCACTGCTGAGACTTACTCATGGAAAACTTTCTTGGTTGGAATCAACAGCAGGATTCAGGGTACTCGAGGAAGCCAAGCAAGGACCTGGCTGCAAAGAGAAGGAGGCAGTTTCCTGGCTGAGATTGTTCTTTGGCCCAGCGAGACAGGGTGATGCTAAGAGTCCTGGCAAGGCTCAGGATGGATGGGTATTGGCTAGGCCCTGGGAGGTTGGGTCCTTGAGGTGATGAGTGGGCTGCAGGCTGGGGAGTTTGGAGGGTGTGAGAAACTGGGATGGTAGTGATAGGATTTGGGGATATAGAAATGAGGAAAAAATGGGAGGTGAAGATAGTAGAAATGCAGGATGTTTATAAAGTCCTTAACTGTGTCAGGCACTCTATCCCATTTAATTATTTAATCTTCCAAACCCCAGGTTACTATTATGACAGTTAGTCATAAAAACAACTGGGGTTCAAGGAGAAAATTTACCCAAGGTCTGTCACATGGCTGGTAAGGGGGTAGGTTTGGGTTTRAGTCTGTAAGTCTGGGTCCACACTGCTGGCTCACAGAAACAGATGGGTGGGAAGGCTTCAACAAGATTCGTTATCATGAACATCTTTCTGCTGCCAACATGGCAATCTACCTTCTGATCTAGTCTCCAGCCACCGAGGCAGGCATTCTTTTCTTTCAAAACACCAGGTTTCCACCTGTACAAGCTGAGGAGCCATAGGTAGATTAAGTGATGGGAACACTTTGCTACCCTCAAAGCTTGGGGCATGCGTGGCTGCAGGGGAAGCCTCTTTGTAAGGGGGTAAGAGGGAGAGGGCACGGTTGAGAGGAGGGGCAAGTGAAGGATGCCTGCCCATGTGTTAGCTGGAATTTTGCACAGGGTCTGAGGGACTTTGGTGTCAATCATAAGGTCAACAGATGGTAATGAACCATTCTGGGGACGGAAGGTATGAAGGGCAAAGTTAGAGATAGGAAGAGAGAGTCAGTTTAAGCAAAGGAAAGATAGGGAGTGCACCAGAACCCATGTTAAGAAATATTCTGCAATTTCATCTTCTTTTATTTTCTGGAATTTGAAGTGAATAGATGAAAACCCAGGAGGAAACTAGTATGGAGCTGGGAATGGGTATGGAGTGTTGCTATCCATTCATGCCAAATGCCAATCAGAGAGAGGAGGAGGGGCCAGAGTGTGAGCAGAAGGATGGCCTGGGAGGGAAGCAAGAAAAGAGCAGAGAGGAGCAGTGAGTCAAAGCCCTTGCAGGAGACACTGTGCTGATCAGAGCAGATCCTTCCAAGAAGCTCTGGGTAGAATCAGGAGGGTGGTCACTTCTCCAACTGTTTCTTAGAAAAGGATCTGGGTCAAGACAGAAAAGTGGGGACAACTGGATGAAGAAAGCTATTCTAGAAGATCCATTGTCCCCCTCCCTAGCACTCCTTATCCCACCCCACCTCTGTAGCTCTACGACCATTTATTCCCATATTTATTGAGTGCCTCTTATATGCCAATTACTGTTTTAGGTACTTGGAATACACGAGTGAAGAGGAAAAAACTAACATTCATGTCCTCCTAGAGGTTACTTTCTAGAGAAGAGAGACAGACAATATACAACAAATGTAGTAAATAGGTAAATTATACAGTGTGTCAGAAATACAGAGCAGGGTAGTTAGTGAGGGAGGGGAAAGAGGGAGAAACTGAATGGAGGCAGAAAAGAGAGACAAAGGGGAAGAGAGTGGGTGCCTGCAGCTCAAAGGAGTGTCTTCTTGAGAGATCAGGTATGGCACAAGGACTTGGATTTTCTCTAGCTAAGGGGAAATGCTGGCAACATGGAAATGGGAAACCTGAGTTTGGGAAGTAGCAGGAGAGTACAGCTGCCAGCCCAGGAGCAAAGGAAAATGGGGCAATCTAGGGCAAACGGCAGAGGCCCACTCTGAGAGCATGTCCCAGACCAGCACTTCAGCAACACAGGTCCAGGGCAGGAGCACAGAATCTCCCCGCCCCTCCTAGGCCCAGCTGTCCCGTCACTCACGCCCGCTGCTCATTGGTTATTTTTGCTACGGAATGTGCCAGYCCCTCGGATTCTCCTGGGGAGCAGAGGCTCAAGTTACCCCCTCTCCCATCTCAGCTACCCCATCTGGGTGGGACATCTGGGGTGTCCAGGGTCCTTTGGCTGGAAGCAGTATGGACAGACACACATGCTCTCTCAATGCACATCCCTGTGTATGGATCTGTACTTGACACACTTGCCACTGACAGTCTGGGACACAAGAACACCTGTATGTATCTGGAAGGTATAAGGTGTGACCTTAAACTTAAAAAAAAAATAGGGTGCAAACTCAAATAACTTCAGGGGCCAAACAGAAACTGAAATGTGGGCGGTGCTACTGTCAGCCGCTGACTTTGAGATGCTTGTGCCACCCCAAATATTGTGCAGGTTGAATAAAACTCATTAGTCTACCTCTGAATTTATTTTAGTAACCAGGCTTTAAAGCAATAAGTTTAGAAGACACACTGACCAATCAGCTTGTGATGCTTTATGGCATAATGGTCAATCATCCAGTCATAGAATCCTGGCTCCCTCTATCCTGGCTGTGTGCGCTTGGGCAAATGTCTCCATGCCTCAATCTCATTCCCTGTTGTGAAGACTAGATGAGTTTTTTTCATACAAAGTGCTTAGCACAATGTCTAGTACAGACCAAGAAGGCAATATTTGTTAACAATTACTTAGTACTGTAGACACTAAACCATTTAACATGGTGGGATGAGAATTTCAATCAGAAGACTTGCAGACTCAGAAGCTGTGTGGCTCTGGCTAAGCCACAGGAACTCTCTGAGCCTTAGTGGCTTGTCAGTGAAGTGGGGATGGGAATGCTCATAAAAGCTTCAAGCTCATGGGGTTGCTGTTAAGTGTTGCATTTATAAAATGTCAGGTACTTGGTAAATATTAAAGAAATCTAGCTACCATGATTATTGAGAAGGACGGAATAGAACTTGGTTTATGCAAAGAGCTCATGGTGCTGAGTAGGATGATGGGGGTGAGGATAGGGTGGGTGGGGAGGGCAGTGGGGGGAACAAAAAAAAATCTGTTGAGGGCTGGGGATTTAGGTCAGTGGTAGAGGACTTGCCTAGCATGGAGGCTCTGAGTTCAATCCCAGCCTGACCCAAACAAACATCTGGTGAGTGTGCCCACTCTGCGAATAAGAGTAGTACCTCTGGGCACCTTAGTGTATGTGTGTGTGTGTGTGTGTGTGTGTGTGTGTGTGTGTGTGTGTAGGGCATCAAGAAATTCAAGGCAAAGGGAGGAAAGCCGTCTTAGGCTGTCTTGAGGATCCTGGGCATTTTATATCCTGGGTCCGCGTCAGCAGGGAGCCCCCATCCCCAAGAACCCTTGAGTATGACCTAGGCGCCCCCACCCGGGCTCTGTCCTGCAGTGATTTGGGTACTGCCTGGCACCGTCTGCGTGTGCGCATGTTTGCGGAGTGAGAGAGTGGAGATGCTATTGACCTTCCAGGGCCGCCGGGCTGGAGGACGGAGGAGACGCCCTGGAGGCGGCTTTGGGCTGCCAATGAGAGTGGCCTGAGCCTGGGGCCGCTGCACCCCGCCCTTTCTGTGCCTCAGTTTCCCCATGTGCCCAGGGCCCGGGAGGCAGATGCGGGTGGAGTGGGGGCTGTCAGCAGCGGGAGCTGTCCTGTGGGCGTGCGGGAAGGCAGGTGAGGGCCGCCCCAGGGGACGCAGAGGGGCAGGAAAGGGTAGGGGCGCCAGGTGGGGTGCAGGCTTGCAGGAGAGGGCGGGCTCTGGGCGCCGCCGCCGCCTTCGCTTTACCCCCGCCGGGGCTCCCGAGGCCCGGCGGCTCCTTCCGCCACCCGCGCGGACTCCCGCCCGCTCCCCAGCTCGCCCCCGGCCCCGCCTCCGACTCCGCCCCGCCCCCGCCGTCCCCTCCTCGCCCGGCCGCCGGCCCGGCCCCCTCCCCCGCCATGAAGAAGCTGTGGGTGAAGAAGCGTTTCCAGGTGAGGGCTCCGGGGGCGGGCAGCGCAGGGAGGGGGCAGGAAGGGCTGGGCGCCCCGTAGGGAGGGCGGGTCACCGCGGCTAGGCCCGGGGGAGGGGGCGTTGGAGAGGCGCCAGCCCCACCCCAGCCTCGCGGACGGCGGAGGCCCGGTGTCTGGGCGGGGGGCGCCCCGACCCGCGTCCTGAGTGCTCAGGCCCCTCCCCAAGCTGAAGGGCAGAATCCCCTATAGTCCCCAGTCCCCGAGACCACCTGGGAGGCCACCGCTGCAGCTTCGGCGCGGGGCACCCGTTTGCTTCGCCATCTCTGGCGCCTCTGTCCAACCCCAGTCCCCGACCCCCGCCCGGCTTTCCCCAGCTCCCCACTCTGGAGCCTTCCATCTTCTGAAGCTCCTGAAAGAAACGCAAAGGGATCTTCGCTGAGCTCTAAATTCCCCCAAGCCCTGCCCTGTCCTTCGCGTACCCGGGCATCCTTCCTGCATTCCTGGGGCTCTGGCCCCTTGGGGATCCTTACTCTTTGCCCCCCCCCCCATCACCCCTTCCCCGTCCTCTTGACACCTATCCCAGGTATCTGTCCTTCCCCACAACAGGAATCTGTGTCCTTGGCCCTCCATCTCTCGTCATTCAAGCGCACCCCCTCCATTTTCTTATCAGCCATCCTGGCTACCACATCTCCTCTCCTCTATCTGGTCCCAGGCTATAAGCCTCTGTCCAGCAGGGAGTCCCAGAGTTGGACCTGCAGCCTTTCTGTTCCCTCACCTTCCTCCCCTGCTGCTGAGCCAAGCTGAGTGGCCTGGAGGAAGGCAGAGTGGATACACTCTCTACCCGGCAAACTATGCCCCCCCCCCACTGGCCCCTAGTATGCATTTTTGCCTGATATAGCAGGCTGGGACTGGGAGGTATAGGGACTCAGGAGCAAGCTTCCCCCTCAACAACTCATTCTGGCTTTTCTCTTTCAGAAAACCGGCCATTCCCGCCGGGCCTTTGGCCGACTTACCCATGGTGCGTGGACTGCTCTAGCCCATGCCCACTCCTCCTCTTGATCCATGTCCCTTCATGAGGCATCAAGGCCCTGAAGATAGCCCATAAGATGTGGGACACCCCCCCCCAATTCATCTACCCACCCACCCAAGAAGGACCCCTGGGCCCTGAAGCTGAGAGAGGACCTAGCAATGGGAAGGGGGCTTATCAGCACACCCTACCATGGGCCTGGGCTCCCCATTCTTCATCTGTGAGACCAAGTGAGGAGGAGCATATTTCCATGCTATGGCAACCAGCACATGGCTCCTGCTTGTCATGGCACCCAGGGGAAAACTGAGGCACAGAACCTGATAGACTCTGGGAAGGTTAAAAAAATATGCCCAGGAATCTTTGTTTCTAACTCAAACTCTGGGCATTTTTAAAGAACCACTCACCAGTAGAAGAGAGGATTCTTGAGGAGAGTGCCTGTCCCAGCCCCATGCAGACAGATGTGGTTTCTTTTGTAAGGAAGGGTCAAAGCATAGTACAAATTTTGTAGTAGAGGGTGGGACTGACCCTTAATATTTGAAGGCCCAGGTCTGTGGCTGAACTGGGCCCAAACAGGTGTGAGTATGGCCAGTAGGAGCACCAGGAAGGGTTCAGGGTCCCAGAACCACTGGGCCAGTTGGAACAACCAGCCCAGCACATGGGGATGGCTCCCTATGCTGGGCACATCTGGTGTCCTCCTCCCCCATCTATCCCCACCAGGCACTGGGGACCCTTGTGCCCCTTCTGTCCTCCATGTCCCATCCCACAAACACTCTGATAACTGTCTGTCCACATCTCTCTCCTGCTGCTCCTATGGAAGCGAAGTTTTCCGCTCCTGCAGAAAGCAAAGTTACGGTAGGAAGCTGGCTTCTGCCCTACCCCCACTTCCCCCTCTACCCTGCCCAGCCCTGGCCTCTCCTCACCCTACCTCAGCTGTGTACCCTGATGCCTTCCAGCTGGTTGAGGGTGCAGGACAGGCTGGCCCTGCAGTTGGTCGAGTGCCCTGACAGTTCGACTCTGAGGTGACTCCCCTTTGTTTCTGGGGAACTGGAACCCAGACTTTAGAGCCTTGGAACCTAGGACCTTGTTATTTTGGGCACCACACAGGGAGAGGAGGGGGAGGGGATGAGTCCCTGGTAAGCCATTAACTGGGCAGGAGGGAGGATGGCAGTGTTGAGGGCCCCATGGAGGCAAGGGTGAGTAGCCAGGGGGTCAGGGATGGAGCCAGGGCATTGAAGTGGGAATCTGGGCAGGGAGGTGGCAGAAGCAAAAGAGGAGAGAAGACTGGGTCCTGAAAGCCCTACCTGTGGTAAGATGGAGCTCGCTGTGGGGGAGGCAGGAGGCGACTTAGGCAAGAGTTGGAGGAGAAGGAGGAGGGCCCTGCCCACACAGACCCCTTCTTCTCCAGACTCAGAGACAGCTGAGGATGACATCAGCGATGTGCAGGGGACCCAGCGCCTGGAGCTTCGGGATGACGGGGCCTTCAGCACCCCCACGGGTGAGCTCTCTGGGTGCTCTGAGAGCAGGCAGGAGGGTTTCCCGCAAGGGGCACCTAGGTCTTACTGTGCTCCTTTCTCTAGGGGGCTCTGACACCCTGGTGGGCACCTCCTTGGACACACCCCCGACCTCCGTGACAGGAACCTCAGAGGAGCAAGTGAGCTGGTGGGGCAGCGGGCAGACCGTCCTGGAACAGGAAGCGGGCAGCGGGGGTGGCACCTGCCGCCTCCCAGGCAGCCCAAGGCAAGCACAGGCAACCGGGGCCGGGCCACGGCACCTGGGGGTGGAGCCGCTGGTGCGGGCATCGCGAGCTAATCTGGTGGGCGCAAGCTGGGGGTCAGAGGATAGCCTTTCGGTGGCCAGTGACCTGTATGGCAGCGCGTTCAGTCTGTACAGAGGACGGGCGCTCTCCATCCACGTGTAAGTAATGGCCTCACCTGGGCCTGCATTGTCCTATCTCACCATGCTGTCCTGCACCGCCCATTACTGCTCCATCAGCCTCCACCCCATCTCCCCTGCCCCATCCATCTCTGTGCACCCCCCACCCCCCACTGCTGGCCCCAGCTACACTCTTTCCACACCATTCCCTCCGTGGCCATCACCTCCCACGTCCTTCTGCTCCCACCTGTCCTGGCCCACTGTGCCATCTCCATGGTCTCATGGACCCCTCTGTCCCTTCCTCTGTCCCTTCCTTGTCTCCTCTGAGAGCTCCAGTTTGTCAGGGGCCCTCTACTGCCTCGCCCATTCAGGCTCCAGTTGTCCCTAGGATCCCCCCTGCCCCCTCCGTGCCTGCTGTCTCAGCAGCTGCTGCCTTTTCATCTCTCTGCACATTCCTGTTCCCATGTGGGCCTTTTTCTGGGAGGAACAGAACCTTTCCGCACAGCAGCTCCCGGGAGAGAAGGGAAGAGCAGGGGAGCAGGCGAGCACCCAGGAGAGAGAAGAGAACCCGAGGTGGTCAGGGGCAGATGGGGCGAGGGGCCTGCAAAAGCAGGAGGATGGACGTGGGCTGTGGGGAGGCAGAGGGCTGGGAGAAGGAGGGGCTAGAGACAGCAGGCTGGGGTGGAGTGGAGGGTTTGGAGTGACAGCAGCAGGGGGCAGGCGATTATCTTGTGGGAAACACCGAGGGTGGGGTCCAGGGTTGTCCAGGTTGGGGGTGGTAACAAGTGGAGATATTGGAGTGAAGCACTGGAGCCATTTTTGGAGATTTGGGGGCTGGCAGATACTGGAGGGAGTGCTATAGCAGAAGAGGGGAGTGGCTGATGGTAGAGGTAATGGGGGCCATTTGGGGAGCTGTGAGGGGGCCTGCTTTGTGATGGGTATGGGTATGGAGGAGGTACCTCCTTCATGGAGTAGAAAGAAGGGGTCTGGGGAGGGGGCTATTTCATAAGTGGTTGGAGTGGCCAGTGGTAGACACAGGAGAGGTCTGGTCTGGGACAGGGGCCTGGGGAGCTCCCTTGGCTTATCATTGGTGCTCCTGTACCCTGTACTGCCTCTCCTTTCTTGCCTTTCCCAGGCCCCAGCCAGAGCCTGGAGTTGCTATGGCAACTCGGAGGAACCCATTTCCTTAGTGATGTCTGGTAGAGTCTGGCCTGGAGCTCTTGGAGCTGCCGGCAAGAGGCCTCTTTTGCTGTCCCCAATTTCTCTGCAGACCTCACCCAGTTCCCAGAGGCCATTCCTCAGGGACTCTGCTACCCCTCCCCCAGAGTAGACTATACCTCTCTGCTGGTGGCTGGCTGAGGCTTTTCTGCCTCCTGGGGCACTCAAGATTACCTCCTCTGCCCCCAGCCAGAGGTGGGTCTTGCAATGTGGGTGATCAACCAAGGTAGTCTAAAACATCCTTACACTTAGGCACTCCTAGGACTCCTGGCTGGTACTGTCCTATTTCTCTTCCCTTCTGTCTCTCTAGAAACCTAAACAGTTGAAGGGAACAAGGACTCAGAAGTCAGATTCACTTAGGTTTCAACCTCAGTGCCCCATTTCCTAGCTATGTCACCTTGGGAAGACACTTAACCTGTCTGAAGCCTTGGTTTTTTGGAGTGAAGCACTGGAGTCATTTTTGGAGATTTGGGGGCTGGCAGATACTGGAGGGAGTGCTATAGGAGAAGAGGGGAGTGGCTGATGGTAGAGGTAATGGGGGCCATTTGGGGAGCTGTAAATGGGGGTAATATCAGTTCCTATCTCAAGGGGTTGGGAGGATTAAATGACTCAATGCATTTGAATTACTTTGTATATGCCTGGCCACACAGTAAATATTCAATAAGCCATTTTATATTATTTTTTAATATTTATTTTTTAGTTGTAGTTGGATACAATATCTTTATTTATTTATTTTTATGTGGTGCTGGGGATCGAACCCAGGGCCTCACCCGTGCTAGGCAAGCGTTCTACCACTGAGCCACAACCCCAGCCCCGTTTTATAAGTTTTAAAGTTATTTCTAATGTGTCAGGTATGGTAATAGAGCTCAGATTCCTTGTCTTGTTATCTTTATGTTTGATTTCCCCCCACCAAGGGTCCATAAGGGGGAAACTGAAGTCTATCTCTTGGATATCAAAGCTCTGCTAGGTGAGGGGGTATCCTGGGCTGATAGGCTACTTCCCTCCTCATCTTGCACACTCCCTGTTCAGGCCCACTGGGTAATTACTTCTCGATTTACCCTTTGGAGGGAATTTCAGCACTTCTCAGGAGGGTTTTCAAGGATTCAGGGTTCCTTTCCCAGGGGCAGAACAAAGACAAAGGTCTATGCTGGGGCAGATTGAGCAAAGAGAACAGGATTCTGGGTATCCTATTCCCAGGGATTCAGTTGCTGCCTGCTCTGCCCTACTGTAGGTGGTGTTAGAAATGGAGTCAGGTCTCCACAGGAGCTAGGTCATCACATGGATGGGGCACTGCTCTATAAAGTCTTGTGTTTGGTAGAGAAGGCCAGTGCCCTTCTTCTAAGGGCCACTGTGAAGGGGATGCATTCTTCTGAGGCTGGGCTGGGCTGTGGGGGCCAGCTGAGGGCAGGAATGAGTAGAAGACTGCATTCTAGAGAGGACCCCTCCCTACCCAACCCTCCTGTCTTCCCTCACCACTTCGTCTTTGGGTCCTAAACCTCATTCTTTTTTTCTCGCCCATGCTCAGTTCTGTTCCTGCTGTTCCCAGCTTCCAGGCCTGGGGGGAGGGGGCTGGCCAGAGCTCCTGGGGTTGAGTCTGTACCTGGACTCAGCCACTAGCCCAGTCTTCTGGTGCATGAGCCGCTGGCCTCTCCCCAGCCCCTGCTCTGGCTGTGCGGTTCTCCAGGGGGTGGGGGCAGGAGGGTCTGGCCCATGTCACCCCCAAGCCTGCCCAGCATGTCCCACCGCCTAATCCCTGTCACAAGCTGAGAGTCTAGGAGGGGAGGCTCCCTGAATCCTCTACCCCTCTTGGTCTTGGTTCTGCAGCAGCATCCCTCAAAGTGGACTGCGCAGGGAGGAACCTGACCTTCAGCCTCAGCAGGCTAGTGAAGCCCCGCGTCCTCGCCCTGCCCCTCCGCCTCCTTCCAAGTCCGCGCTGCTCCCGCCACCATCCCCTAGGGTGGGTAAGAGGGCTCCACCAGGACCCAGCGCCCAGCCCCCAGCCACCCCCACATCGCTCCATCGGCGCACTCAAGAGCCTGAGCTACCGGAGGACCCCACCGCGGAAGAGAAACGAGGCAAAAAGTCCAAGTCATCGGGGCCCTCGCTGGCGGGTACGACAGAGTCCCGGCCCCAGACGCCACTGAGTGAGGCCTCAGGTCGCCTGTCGGGGCTGGGCCGCTCACCGAGGTTGGTGCGAGCCGGCTCCCGCATCCTGGACAAGTTGCAGTTTTTTGAGGAGCGACGTCGCAGCCTGGAGCGCAGCGACTCGCCCCCAGCGCCCCTGCGGCCCTGGGTCCCCCTACGCAAGGCCCGCTCCCTGGAACAGCCCAAGTCCGTAGGCGACGCTGCGTGGGGCATACCTGGGGCCTCTCAGGAGGAGCTGCAGGCGCCACAGGGCAGTGTGGCCGAGCGGCGCCGCCTGTTCCAGCAGAAGGCGGCCTCGCTGGACGAACGCACACGACAGCGCAGCCCTGCCTCTGATCTCGAGCTGCGCTTCGCGCAGGAGCTGGGCCGCATACGCCGCTCCACTTCGCGGGAGGAACTGGTGCGCTCCCATGAGTCCCTGCGTGCCACCCTGCAGCGTGCCCCATCCCCTCGAGAGCCTGGAGAACCCCCACTCTTCTCCCGGCCCTCTACCCCCAAGACTCCACGGGCTGTGAGCCCTGCCGCCACCCAGCCTCCTCCTCCCAGTATTGTGGGCAAGTCTGTAGAAGAGCCTGGGAGGCCCAGAAGCCGTGGCCCTTTGGGCAGGACAGAGCCTGGGGAAGGCCCACAGCAGGAGGTTAGGCGGCGTCGGGATCAGTTCCCACTCACCCGGGGCAGAGCCATACAGGAGTGCAGGAGCCCTGTGCCGCCCCACAATGCTGATCTCCCGGAGGCCCAGACGAAAGCCCCCTCGGGTCGGAAGCGGGAGCCCCCAGCGCAGGCAGTGCGCTTTCTGCCCTGGGCCACACCGGGCCTGGAGGGCGCTGCTGTGCCCCAAACCTTGGAGAAGAACAGGGCAGGGCCTGAGGCCGAGAAGAGGCTGCGCAGAGGACCAGAGGAGGATGGTCCCTGGGGGGCTTGGGACCGAAGAGGACCCCGCAGCCAGGGCAAAGGTCGCAGGGTCCGACCTACCTCTCCTGAGCTCGGTAAGGCTGCTGAAAGGGTTGGAAAGGTGCCCAGACCTGGCTGGGAGGGGATTTGGGAGCAACAAGACTGCCTGGCAGTAAGGAGGGCCTTGCTTGGGACTGGTAGGCTGCTCTGAGGGTGCTGTTTGCCAGAGAACATATTGATACAGGCTCGGGTTGGAGTGACAGACTGTGAAGGTCCTGTGCTAGATCTTGCCATTGGTGAGTTAGGAGTGTGAGTGTGAGTGTGTTTGGATGCCAGGGTGAGCAAAGGCTGATGCCCACATATCTGCCATAAGTTCACAGAGGTCCAGTGGCTTCCTGGGTTGTTGGGTCAAGGACCCACAATGAGAAGAGGCACTGGTGAGAACCTAAGCAGTGCTCAGCAACCTCCATTCCTCTATGGGGGAAGAGAGGGTAGCTGGTCTCAAATTCCTGTTACAGGCAAGCATTGCGTTAGTTAACCCCTTACTCTGCCCTTCCCTTCCCAGCACCATATGTCAGCCTACCCGTGGCCGCTAAGGTCTTACCCAACCTCTTCTCTCCCATACTCACATCCTGCATTGCTGAACTAACTGGTCCCTACACATACTTGTTTTTGTGTTGTCTTCCTGCCTTTCTGTGGGTGATGAGCAACATCAAGGACAAGTGCTGCTGCCCCTAACCCTGCCCATCCTGAACAGCAACTTGGGGCCCACTTCTGGAGAGGCAGAGAGAGCTATCCTTGACTTGCTCCCACTCCCTACTGCTTTTCCACACTGTATCTAGGAGACCCTGCCAGTGTCTTTCTTATTGTGTTTATCACCCTGTATTTTTCTTCATCAAAGTTATTTTGCATTTAAGTGTTACCACCTCAGAATCTTTAGAGATGATTAGGCTCCAGTCCATCATCCTACTGACAACCATTATTATATACCCACTATGTCCCAGGTGTTGTGTTAACTAGGCCCATAAGGATGTTATCTAATTTAGTCTGTTTGCCAGTTCTGCAGAGTATTGCATGTTATCCCTCCATCTTCCAGATAACATAACTGAGACTCAAAGATTATCTCATTTGCCCAAGATGATATAGTTAGAAAACAGCAAAATTGGTATCTTTGCAGCCCTTTTAGCTGCCTACATTGTCCTTTATCTAGCTCATAGAATGTCAGAGTTGGAAAATACCCAGAAAGAACCATGACAGCGTAGTCTCTTTTTATATAAGCAGGGATCACATCTTATTTCCTGTTATAGTCTGGGTACCCATCAGTATGCAATGTAGTGAGTGCAGTGTTACTGTCTGGTGAAGGAGGAATGGAAGCTGATCCTCTGAGGCCCATCCAATCCCCCTGCAGCTCCCTGTTTGTCATATGGTAGCCTCACAAATGTGACAATTTCCCACATATTACCTTTTGTAGCTATTGTTGCTGCTCGGTCTTGGTTTGCTGGTAGCTTGTCCTCTGTCCGTTCGAGCTTATATAGTCTTGTGTCCCCTTGGAGTGCCTTGCACAGGGTCTGCTGTGCCACATGTGATGAACAGTTCTTGTGAAGGTGCCTATCACAGCACATCCCCACCTTCCTCTAGAAACCAACACTAACTGTGGTCTCAGCTGCCCTGTCCTGGTGAAGAACCTTCCTTCTGAAATTTTCTTTTCTCTATCTTAGGACTTTCAGTWAAGAGATCTTAATCCCTACCAGAAGCCCGGATCTCTGGGTTTTGGTACTTTCCAAGACACAGGCCTGCCAACATGCTTTCACCCCGAGTCATTTCCACAGAGATCACATCCCCCTCATCACTCATGTCACCCCTGTGTCTGCAGAGTCTTCGGATGACTCTTATGTGTCTGCTGGAGAAGAGCCCCTGGAGGCCCCAGTGTTTGAGATTCCCCTGCAGAACGTGGTGGTGGCCCCAGGGGCTGATGTACTGCTTAAGTGTATCATCACCGCCAACCCCCCACCCCAAGGTAAGCTTCAGGTCTTGAGGTGCAGAGCATGTGGGACAGGGAGAAGGAGCCTCCCCTAGAATCCTCTGAGGGGGTGGGTGGGAGGAGAGGAGTCTGCCTGTCTTCAGGAAGATGGCTCAGGACTCCCTAGAGAGAAAAGGACAGCCTGGGCTTCTGGAGTGAGGGCAGACTCCTCAGAATTCCCGACAGGCAGAACAAGGAATGGTTTGAACCTTTGTGTGGGAGGGGTGGAGTGAGGTTTCCCCAGTGAGCCTCTGGCCGTAGTGAGTTGGTTCTCGTTGCTTCCCCACAGTGTCCTGGCTCAAGGATGGGTCCACGCTGCACAGTGAGGGCCGCCTTCTCATCCGGGCTGAGGGCGAGAGGCACACTCTGCTGCTCAGGGAGGCCCAGGAGGCTGATGCGGGGAGCTATATGGCCACTGCCATCAACGAGCTGGGCCAGGCCAGCTGTGCTGCCTCACTGGCTGTGAGACCTGGTAGGAAGCCCACCAAACCCAGGGGTGGGTGGGGGGTGAGCTGTGATCCTTCCCTCCTAGTAGATGTGAGGCCATAGGCCCAAGCTCCTTTCCCACTTGCAAATGAGAGTGCTTGGGCTCTCAGTCATCTTGCAGAGTCCCTTCTCTGTGGGCCTCTCTGGTCCCGTCCTTAGGGCAAGGATCAAATTCCCAGGACAGGCACCAGGCTGGTCAATTCATGAAGTCAGTAAAATGTGTCTTTAGACATCCTATAACCACCAACTTCCCCKGCCAATTCCCCTGAACAGGGTCCTGTGGGGAAGGCGAATTGTCTTTGAGTCTGAGAAAACTAATCTCTCAGCCCAGAGGGCTTAAGATCCACCAGGAGCTTTTTATGTTATTTTTCCTATAGGAAAGCCCCAACCCTGTAAAAATAGAGGCTTTCAAGTGTCCCTGCTTCCTGTTGAACCCCAAACCTTAAAGAAGGTGCAGCTGAGAACACCTTCAGGATGGCAGTATGGAGCTGCCTTGTTTTCTATTTTTATAGAAGCTCTCACTTGGTGTCAGACTACTTCCTTTGGGTTTCAGTCCAGTTTCTTTCTGGCTCAGGCAAGGGCTGGACTGGTGTCAGTGTATGTGACCAGTTCTGTTCATTCAGGTGGCTGGGCCTGACAATGCACTGACCCTGCACAGTGGGGCAGAGAGAGGGGAGGATGGTAGGGGTTGTCACAGAAGGAAAAGACAGAGACTCAACCTGCAATCAAGGGGATTACCATTGGGTGTCCAAATCTAGCTCAGAGGACCTAGGCTGGAGGGCATCTAAGCACAGATGAATTCAGTTTGGAGATGAGTCTAGCAGTGGTCAGTGTTCTAGGATATTTGCACTGAGACAGGAGAGCCTGGAGGAGGCGGGGTTTAGACTGCAGAAGGAGGGGCAGGACATGCCAGGAGGGGGAACAGCACATGCTGTTCTGTGCCTTTCTTCCACTCAGTGCTACAGGACAGCAGATGACAGCCCAGCCCGTGTGCCTGGTCCCAGGGCGTTAGCACTTTCAAAATGCAGGAGCTCTTGGTGGGGTCTGGCACCGCAGCTGTGCCATGTTAGCTCCTTTGATAGCACCTTATGTTTTTGTGGAGCAGCAGGTCCTCATCTTGCTTCACCTCCGTGTCCCTCCCAGGAGCCATGTTCAAGGCTCGCTGCCTCTTCTTATCCCTCCCACCTTGATGAATCATACCCATCCCTCCACTACGCGTTTCCGTCCTCCCATCACCTCTGGGATCTGGCCTCTGACTCAACTCCCAGGTCCCCTTAGGGGGCCCAGGCCTGGCTCCAGGACTCCAGTCAATACCTGGCTTGGGCTGAGAAATGGCAAGGGGTAGGGTGGGGGTGCCTGAATATTGGCTAAGAGCCATTTGGGAGCCTTTTAAGGTTGGGAAGGCGGCTTGGGGCACGGCAGCTGTCAGCACTTGACAGGGAGTTCTGTGTTTGCCACATTGAATCTCCCCGAGCTTCAGTTTCCTCATTTGTAAACCAGAGATAATTATACCATCCTCACGGATGAAAGCGAATGTGCGAACGAGCTTTATGAACTGTAAAGCTGTAGACAAATGTTAGTTGTTAGCGTTCAGGGATGGTGTTGTGCACACTAACTCAGCTTTCCAGGAGGACCTGGGGAGCACCTTACCCTTTCCTGTCCCTTTCTTCAGGCTGTCTGGGGCTTTGGGACTCCACTTCTGCCTTGCAAACCTTGTAACCCCCTGGTCCCTCCCTATTTCCCAGCCCCTGGATTCTCAGACTGTTGCTGCATCTTTGTTTCTCCTCTGCCCTGGGGAGCCAGAAAATCTTCAGCACAGAAGTTGGTTGTACCAGGCTTTATGAGCAGCCCCATAAGTCAGACTGGCTCCAGGGCCCCTGGGTCCAAGGGGCTGGCGCGCTAGTCCAGCATCGTCGATGATTGTAATAGAGCAAGCTGACTTTCTTACCCTACAAGGCACTGTTTGGTCCAGAGTAGCTGGATGGGGGCCAGTGGATCCAGAGAGCCGCCCGAGTGAGTGGAACCAGTGGTGGCACAGATATTTGACAAGGGAGGGGGTCTCAGGCCTAGAGTCTGTAGGCAGTGGTTCAGGCTGTGGGGAGGGGGGGGAGTGTCTGGCTGTGGGGGCGTGGGGAGCAGGTGGAGGGAGGGAGTGGGTAGTGTCTTGTGGGAAGAGGCCCTGTACAGAGCCACTGTCCTCTCTTACTACTTCCCCACCCCCACACCCAATGCCATGGAAACYAGGGCTGGCTGCCCAGTGTGCTCCTGGGGTGCCCACCCCAGCAGGGCCTGCTTTTGAGAGCCCACAGATTTTATTCCTGTTTAGGAACCACAGTAACTAGGGAATGGGCAACTAGAAAATGCAGCCTGGTTTGGGGGGCAGGCTCTGTGCAGGCAGGACCTGGTGTTACCAGCTCTGGCCGCTCCTCCCCAGCCCTATGTCCCTCCCACCCTTGGAATAACTGTCTCAAAGCTGGGGAGTGGATGGGGATGGGTGGCTGGTGAGTGTGAGAAGTACTGCTGCTGCTGCATCCAGCACACAAGAATTTATAGAGTGCCATGTCCTTTTCCCAAATCCTTTCATGTCTTTTTCATTGATTTATGTTGAGATAAAATATATGTGTGTGTATGTGTGTGTGTGTGTGTGTGTGTGTGTGTGTATAATATATATATCTCCCTTGAAGGGACCATGACATTTTACAGATGGTGATATTTCCATTTTACAGATGGAGAGACAAATACATGGAGACTCTAGTGACAAAGCTAACACTAGGCCAGCAGCCTTTATTGAGCTTCCACGGTCTGCCTGGGATTGTTATAAATGATAAGAGACTTAGAGTAGAAACAAATAAACTTAGCATGAATAGCAGATAAAAAATAATATCCCTAATTAGCATTTACTGAGCACTGTTGATTGGGTAATCATATTCAGTCCATCCCTGTGAGGTGGGTTCTATTATTATGCCCAGGTTACAGATGAGGAAACTGAGACTGGGAAAGCTACTGCAAGTTGCTTTAGGCCAGTGCTGATCAATACACCTTTCTATGATAGTGGAAGTGTTCGGTATCTGCCCTGTCCAGTGTGGTGGCCACTAGCCACATGTGGCTGTTGAGTGTTTGAAATTCAGCTGGTCCAACTGAGGAACTGAATTTTTTTGGTGGGGAGGTGCTAGGGATTGAACCCAGGGCCTCACATGTAATAGGCAAGTGCTCTACCACTGGGCCACACCTTTAGCTGGAACTGGGGTTTTCATAACTGTCATTTTTATTGAATGCATTTTGATAGTTTAAGTGTCCTTGTTGGATACTGAGTCCTAAGTGCACCGGGCCAGTTGGAGGCTTGAGACATTCTTTAAAACGCCTTCTCAGGGTTTCTCAAGTAGACACCCCTAACCACTACACTGCCCACTTTCCTTTTACTCTGAAGAGGTTCAGGGTTAGGGCTTGTGCAGAGGGGCAGCTCGGGCCTCTGTGGGTGGGTCAGATTGGGGGTTTTCTCAGCTTATTTTGTTGATTCCATGCCTCCATCATGGCTRTGGTCCTGTTTGTTTCCTCTGGTGCCTGGAGGGAGCACACCTGGCTCTGCCCCACTGTAGGCTCTGACAGGAGGCCTTTCTGGTGCCGGGCCTCCATCCCACAGCCTGCAGCCCTCTGCTCAGGCACAGGTCTCATGTGTTTGAGCCCAAGGCTGTAGCATTTTCTACTCAAGCCTTTGGCCTTTTCCCTTTACCTTGGCTGCAGCTTTCTTATCTGTAAAATGAGGATCATCCTGACTCATGGGCTATATGCTCAAAAAGACTCCGAGCTGTGTGAGGAGGATGAGTTGGCTGCAGACGTTTGGACTTGGGATGTGGCTTGTCAAGACTCCTTCTGGTCTTGCTCATATGATCAGCACTATCACAACAGGAAAGAGGCTGTTTATTGGCAGCCATGAATGCAAAAGGCAAGGAAGAAAATCATATCACCAAATTCTACACCCCTTTTCCTCTGCYTTAGGTCCCTGGCCACAGCTACATAGTTGCAGGGTCTTCCTGGTGATGACAGTGCCTGCAGATGGAGGGAGTCTTGGAAAGCCACATGACCCGTGTTGTCCATTAGGATGGGGGTCTGGACAACACCTGAAAAAGCAAGGTGGCATGGCTCATTCAACCAGACTCAGTCCCTCCTCCCAACTCCTATCTGTCAGCAGCAGGTGTACCCATGGACCACTCCCCAGGACTCTTACCTAGAATGCAGTTGATTGCTCTCAGCCTGTCCCAACGACAGAAACCTAATTTACCATGAGTGCAAACCCTTTATCTAACCTGGAACAACCCAATGTAATTATATGTGAGAAATTCAACACTTGCCTGGATAGGTCAGGCTAACCATGTGAAATTTCCTCTAGTACTTAATACACTTTAAACCAAACCTGAAACACTCTCAGCCTAACCCTTCTCCTTGTCCAGGGGAGACAGTCATGTCAGCACCCTCTGGAAATTCCTACCTCTTGGCAGCCCGCATCCTCCTTTCCCCTCACTTTCCTGTGGTGGGATCACTTAGCAGCTATTTCAAGAGAGGCCCATGGAGCCTGGGTGTGATGGTGCATACCTGTAATCCCAGTGACTCAGGAGGCTGAGGCAGGGGATCACAAGTTCGTAGCCAGCCTGGGAAACTAGTAAGAGCCTGTCTCAAAATGAAAAATAAAAAAGGGCGGGGGATGTAGCTTGGTGGTAGAGTACCCTCAGTTCAATCCCCAGTGCACACCCCCCCCCCAAAAAAAAAAGAGAGGAAGGAGAAGGAAATACAGAAGAAGAAATGCCTGTGGGGATCTACTAGCCACAGGTAGAGGACAGGGTTTGCAAGGCCAGGCTGCATAGGAATGCTGGCCAACCTCCAACACGTTCCTCCCTTCCTCAAAAATCATAAGAGCTCGTCTTGGCCTTTAGAGTAAAGGCCACATGCTTAAGCTGGCATCCACCTTCTGGATTCATAGAGGCCAAAAGCCTAAGGATGCTCCAAGAGAGGAGGCAGCAAGAGGTACCTGTTTTCATCACCCATCTCTGTCATCAGTTGAGCTACCGGCCTCTGTGCCTGTACATTTTTCCTCTGAACATTTCTTCATGCAGGTTCATCGTCATGGACTGCTTTTCCCTTTTCCCTGCTTAAACCAAGTTCTAATTCAATACCACCTCTGCTCTCAGTTGCCTCTTTCTCCCTGAGCCAAAAGTCATCACCAGCTGTCTGTACTCTTGTGGTTCTTATCTGCTCCCCGCTTGCCATCTCGTCATTCTTTCCTGCTTGCTATTCTAGTCATCTATGTATCTGGCTTGTCTTCCCTACCAGCCAAAGGCACCTGAGGACATGACCATGCCTTCTCCACTCCTTAGCCCTTGATGCCACACTAGGAGTCACTCCTGGGCAGCTGGGGACTGTGTAGACCACAAGGATTGAGTGTGAGGTAGCAGTGGGGGACTGAGAGCCCAAGAAACTCCAAGCCCTGGGTAATACACAGAGGTAGGGCAGGACATACAGCTGCAGGGGGTAATGAGACTCTGCCTAAGAGTGGTGGTTGTGATGGCAGAGTTCTCAAAGTATGGTCCCCAGACCAGCAGCATCAACATCCCTTTGGGAATGTGTTAATAAATGCAGACTATTTGCCCCAAACCAGACCTACTGAATTCAAAACTGGGGGGAGGTCCCAGCAGCCCATGGTCTAGGGAACCCTCCAGGTGATTCACAGTAAACTTTGGAACCCACTACCAAGCTGGGCGCAGTGGCGCATGCCTATATTCCCAGTGGCTCAGGAGGCTGAGGCAGGAGGATCTCAAATTCGAAGCCAGCAACTTAGCAAGACCCTGTCTCCAAATAAAAAATAAAAAGGGCTGGGGGTGGGCTCACTGATTAAGCGCCCCTGGGTTCAATCCCTGGTACAAAAAAACAAACAAAAAGCACGCCAGGGAGAGAGAGAGAGAGACAGGGAGGGAGGGAGGGGGCAGGTGGGCATGCACTGGCTTAAGATGAGAGGCCAACTGGTGTGGTGGGAAGTGTGTGGACTGTGGAGTCAGACCTTATCTGTTCAAAGCCCTGCTGTGAAGTTGGATGGCCAAGTGTGCTAGGACTTAGTGAAACTACCTCCTAGGGTTGTCCTCCTCCCATGAGGGTTGGCAGTGGTCCCTACACTTTCATGTGCATAAGAATCACCTGGAGTGTTTTTGAAAAATGTGGTTTTTTGACCTCCCATTTCAGAAAATCTAATTTTATAGGCTGGGAAAGGCCCAGGAATATTTCAAAATAAGCTCCCAGGTGGTCCTGGTGTGGGTGGCTCAAGGATCATTCTGAGATAAAGGGCCTTGTGTGATGCCTTTCATGTGCTGGATACTGGCAGTGGTGGCTGCAGCCATCTCTGTGGGGAGACTATAGCAGGGGACATTAGAAACTGTTGGGATGTTGGGACCAGCAGAATGCTCTGGTCTGGGGAGGGACAGTTCTCTGATTTGTGGGTTACCCAACACCAGTGTTTTCATGAAGTGTTTGACCCAGGGGTTGTGTTGGAAAGGCAGATATGGGCCTAGGGTCAGCACAGGGGGTGGAGGGCAAATGTGAAGGGGTGGTCCTTCCATGGCATGCTGAGTGTATGTGCCTCTGCGATTTGGCAGGGTGTGGGAGCACTTGCTCCCTACTTCCTGGCTAGTGTAACTATGTCTCCCACAGTGAGAGCTGGGCTTGTGGGTAGAGCACAGCTGGAATGTTAAGGACTGGCCACAAAGGTGGTTTTGACCATAAGGCCATGACATCTGGTACCCGAACATGATGTAGAGCTCCAGGATCCTCCATCAGTCTCTTTGGCCATGCAGTTTGGGGTTATGTCAGGGCAGAGACCACTATCTTCTCTCAAAGAGGCCTGGTTGTGCTTCTCTGGTGTCTGAGCCTCCTGCCTGGGCCACATCCCCTCTGGGAGGGGCTTGAGGACTGCAGCTCACTCTGGCTGGATGCCCCCTGGTACTGTTCCTCCAGAGACCACCAGGGGTCGCTAAAGCCCCTGCAAACCTCACCAATCCAGCACAAATCTCCCTCTTCCCTGGGAGGCACCATAGCACTGTCCATCAGGGAGGTGACCCTGGATCAGGACTCCCAACTCCATGGAGGGGAGATAGGCATCCACCTCCAGGGATTGTGCCTATGATCTCAGTGTCAGCTGGGAGCCTTTGGCACCAAGTGCCATTCTGAACACCCCCACCCCCTACCTCAAGACAGCCAGCCTGAATGGTGGCCCCTCCTTCCTCACTGGCAATGCTGGGAAACACAGGTCATAGCTTGAGAATGTGGCTCTGGGCGGGGGTGAGGAGATAGGAGGAAAGACATGTGGCCCCAGCTCAACAACCCCTTCTCTCTTGCTCAGTTTCCAAGTCCCTTCCCCAACCCAGATGCAAATGGGTACTAGTTAAAGGGCGGTTGGGGAAAGTAGCCCCCACTCTCCTCGGCCTTGGCCCTGGTGAGGCTGATGGGTAAAGGTAGGTTGCCAATAAGTGTCCCAGAAGAGCCTGCCATGAGGACTGAGTGTAGGCCTGTGCCCTGGGGTGGCTGCTGGGCTGACCTGCTATGGCAGTCCTGGCGAGATGGAGAAGGGGCTCTGGGATCCCTCAAGTTGGGAGGGACATCTCTGGGAAGGAAGGTGAAGATCTCACATTTCTCTGATCCTCCGTGCCAGAGAAAGCAGGGCATGGCCTGGCTCTTCCRTATTGGAGGCTGATCAGTGTCTTCCCAGGCTGGCGAGCCTGGTGGTTTGGTCAGCAAAAGGGGCAGCACAGGGCCATTGCCATCGGCACCTCCTTTGGTGGACTTGTCAACATTAATGGATCACACAAAGGTCTTGAATGCCACAGTGTGGTGCCTCCCCACCCCATCTTCCTCTGGGGACAGAGGCCCCCATGCCTAGAGTCCAGCCCCGCTGAGGGGCTCTGCTCTTGTCAGTGTCCAGAGCTGTAAGGAGAGGAAAGGCAGAGCGCTGCTTGGGAATGAGCAGRCAGCTAAATTCAGCTGGGCTGGCTCTGCCCCTCCCTCTCTTCCCCCTCCACTCCAGGCCAGGCTGCCTGTGTGCTCAGCAGGCGCCACCTTCCCAGCCCACCACCTTCCCAGCCCAGCCTGCCAGCCACCCAGCCTCTTGCTGGCCACCCCCACCTTCTCTGTCCCCCTCCAGGCTCCTTCCCCTCCCCCAGGGGCAGCTCAGTGCTGGGCCTCCCCAGGGTCCACCAAGTGGGGCTGGGCAGGCTGGGCTCCTGCTCCCTGGGGAGCCAAGGCGGGGTGGGCAGTGGGCAAGCAGCAGGAGGGCCTGGTGCCAGGACAGAGCCTTCGGAAAGGTGCAGGCTGAGGTCCGTGTGCAGTCTCAGGGTGAGTTGGGGTGCAGCCCTGCTGGGGGCTTGGGTTAGGGGAACCAGGAGGAGGGGCCAGGGGGCTGTGGCAGATTCATGTCTGTATTTGGCAGTCGGGTAGAAGCCAGCTCGGTGAGGCTGGGCCCCCAGCCAGTTGCGGGGGAGGGCGTCAGGGCCCTGGGGACACCCCTCCCCCAAGGCAGACTCTAGTCCCCCTGCTCTTCCCTAGGCTGAGCTGCCCTTTTCTGTCGATGACTCTAACTGCTTTCTCACCCCCTGAGAGATTTGGGGTCCCCATGCTCTAGAGCTGGGGCTAACAGGTGCCCCTGGGGTTTCTGTGGCAGGAAGCTGAGAAGGGAGGGGGAAGGGCAGACTGGACAGTGCCACCTCATTGGCCCTGGACCGAGATCAGGATAGGGCTTGTCTGGGGTGTGTRTTCCTCTGTTCCAAGCCCAGCTCACCTAAGAAGCAAGTGTCTTGGCTTTGCTGCTGTGGGGTCCCAGAGGCCAACACCACCTGCTTTTTTTAAATCCTATCTATGTTAGGATATGGATCCCCTGCTCCAGTGGAATTCTGGGTCTCCCTCAAGGCCCAGGAGCAGCCCCTCTGTTGGCTGAATCCTTTGCATCAGGCCATTTCCAATGAGTCCCCTCCCAGGGGGTTCGGTCTTGGGGCAGAGTCTAGCAGTGGAGGAATCAGGAGCTCAGGGAGAGGAAGTGCCTGGGCACAGCAAACCCCCAGAGACCAGGAGTGAAGTCAGGGCAGGGCCCACAGGAATGGCCTCAACTAGGCTCTGGGGACATTTCCAGCCAGCTGTCTCTCTGCCTCCTCCCTCTCCTGGCATCCCTCTGTCTCTCTTCCAGGTGGGTCCACATCCCCTTTCAGCAGTCCCATCACTTCTGACGAGGAGTACCTGAGTCCCCCAGAGGAGTTCCCAGAGCCTGGGGAGACCTGGCCCGGAACCCCCACCATGCAGCTCAGCCCCAGCCAGAACCACCGTTCTTCTGACACTGGCTCCAAGGCACCCCCCACCTTCAAGGTCAGATTCCTGGTCCAGGTCTGTGTGGACCTCCATCCCTTTGTGTCCCCCTTGTTCTTCAGGAGGACCTAGAACTTTGTCCCATTAACTCTTCTTAACCAGCCTCAGTCAGCTTGGTATGGAAGAGACCACTGTCCCAGATCTCCCAGTCCCCAGGAGTCACTGCTATGCCCTGACTGTCATCCCTGACACTTTGGAGTTCCCCTTTAGGTCTCACTCATGGACCAGTCAGTACGAGAAGGCCAAGATGTCATCATGAGCATCCGTGTGCAGGGGGAGCCAAAGCCTGTGGTCTCCTGGTGAGTAGCAGCCACTCACAGGTCTGGGCCCTGTGAGCTGGCTTTGGAGGAAGGGAGTGATACCTGAGGGGCCTTCCCCAGGTGTTGGTCTAGGTGCAGCGGTACTACTCGCCAGCACACCCTGCCCCTTGTCCTGGTGCTCCAGGATTATTTGGGGTTCCCCTTTTGGGGAGAGATTTGAATAATGAATGGTTTCATGTCTTCCCACTTGAGACCAATGGGGAGTCCTCTCAGCCCTGAAAGAAGGCTGCCCACCCTTACCCCATCAGTTGATGGTAAGGTTACTATTTTTTTTAATACCTTTATTTTATTTTTTTATTTTTATGTGGTGCTGAGGATCGAACCCAGGGCCTCACATGTGCTAGGCGAGCACTCTTCCACTGAGCCACAACCCCAGCCCTGGTAGGGTTACTTTTGAGGCTCATTCTCTACCCAGCCCTGGGCTGGACCCAGTCATCACAATTTGTTTCTGAACTGCCCAAACCCAGAGTTAAATGTGGGTCTCAGCTGGGATGCCCGGAACAGCCATTACTCAGCATGTTTTTCTATTGGTTTTCGGTTCTATTTTTCATTTTTAATTGATCGGCTGATTTCCTCTGTGATTTTTTAGAACGTTTAAGTTCTTTCACATCCCTTTTGGGAAGTGGGAGAGCTGTCTTTCTGGAAAAATAAAAATAAGACACAGGGAAATTTAAGGAATACTGAGAGCTAAATAAGCCAAGTTGATGGCACATGCCTGCAATCCCAGCTACTTGGGAAGCTTAGGCAGGAGGATCTCAAGTTTGAGGCTAGTCTTAGCAATTTAGAGAGACCGTGCTTCAAAATAAAATTTAAGAAAGGATGGGGGCTGTGCCCTGTGGCACACCCCAGTAATCCCAACAGCTCGGGAGGCCAAGGCAGGAGGATTAAGAGTTCAAAGCCAGCCTCAACAATTTAGCAAGACCCTAAGCAACTCAGTGAGACCTGTTTCTAAATAAAATATAAAAAAGGGCTGGGGATGTGGCTCAGTGGTTAAGCATCCCTGGGTTCAGTCCCTGGTACCCCCAAAAAGAGAAAGGACTGGGGATATAGCTCAGTAGTAGAGTGCTTGCCTATGAAATGTGAATCTCTGGGATCAATTCCTAGTATTGCAAAACAAAAACAAACACAAAAACCTACTAAATTGCATGTCTCTATTCCAAGTGAAGTGAGTTTGGAGAAGGGAGAGATCCAGGTGGATTAAGATTGTCTGGAAGTTCTTGGAGCAGGTGGGAAGGTAGAATCAAAGTGAAAACCTTGTCCTGGAATCCAGGGGTGTCTGTGATCACTGGGACAGTTTTGGGGAGCAGATGAACAGGGTAAGGGAGAAGAGGCCTGTGCTTCTCTGCAGCCCTACTTTGCTGAGCATGCAGAGGACCTTGGGTTCTGGGACTGAGTTGTAACCCCTATTTCAGGCTAAGAAACCGCCAGCCTGTGCGCCCAGACCAGAGACGCTTTGCAGAGGAGGCTGAGGGAGGGCTGTGCCGGCTGCGGATCCTGGCTGCCGAGCGGGGCGACGCTGGCTTCTACACCTGCAAAGCCGTCAATGAGTATGGCGCCCGGCAGTGTGAGGCCCGCCTGGAGGTCCGAGGTGAGAGCCCCACACTCTGATGAAGTCCCAACCTGGTCCTGTCCCCTCTGCTGACAGATTTCACACAGTCTCAGTTACAGGATGCCACACTGAAAGGGCTGTGGAGGTCCCCTAGTCTGGCTGCGTATATTGTAGTTGAGTAAACTGAGGCCCAGAGAGAAGAAACAACTCGCCCAAGGTCACACAACAAATTGTTCCACTCTCAGCTTGCCACACAGTTCTGCCTTCCCTAGTTTCCATCATGACAGCCCCTGATGTTAGCCAAAGACCCTGCTTCTTGCAACTGGCCACCCTCCCTCCGTGTTCTTCTGAGCCTATGTTGCCCACTCTGCTCAGTCCTCTCCCTCACACCCTCTCTGTTCTCTTCCCCTTTGCTCTCCCTCCTTGCCCCATTGCTGTGCAGAAGCTCTTGTGGTTGAGGGTAGCAGTGGGGAGAGTCTGATGTCTGGACCCGTTCGGAGGGGCCCTTGATGTGACTTAGGCCTGGTGCATTGCTGGGACCCCAGGGGTGCCAGGATGGGCCCCCAGAGTTGAAGACATAAGGCAGGGGCATCTTGGGCTGTGCAGACAGGTCCTAGCCAGGCTGCCCTCCAAAGGCAGTTGCTTTCCTTCCCTGGGTTGCGGTTTACCCATCATGTCCTATGATGGCTCACGACCAGCAACCTCTCCTTAGTCCTTACTCAGCCATTGTCCCTCTTACCTACAAGCTCAGTCCCTTCCAGCCCAGCAGAGGCCACCTTTGGGAATGCCCCAAGATACCCCCAGGCACCTACTGGAGCCCAGACTCTACGGGTCATTGCCCCGCTGCCAGCCTTACCTCCTCACCCTCCTGGTGCCTTTCATTCCTATGGCTGCCACCTGTTTGGTTTCTAAATTCTTCAGTGCCCCCTTTCCTGGCCTGCTCCTTTTCCAGGGTCTGGCCCTGCCTCGCTTCTCTGTGTTAACCCATGTCTTGGTGCCTCTCTCTTTGGGATTCCTCCCTAACATCCTGTAGGCTTTGGGGTGTTCCTGATGCCTGTGAATGCCTCTCCCTTGGCTGCTCAGGGTCTCTGCCTGCCCAGGAACCCTGGGAACTTGGCCTCTGGCTAGCCTCTGGCCCTCCCACCCTGGGCTGACCTTGGGGGAGCTGAACATGGCAATGCTCCCTAGAGTGTTAGAGGAAGCTCCATATCTAGAAGGGCCCTAGCCAGGTCTGTGCGTGTGCGTGTGTGTGCGTGTGTGTGTGTGTGTGTGTGGTGTGCTGCACTAACCTGCCGCTTGCTGACTGAGGTTTTTGTCTGTACACAGGCGAGTGAGCTCAGGGGGCCGCCTGCGCTCCCCGCCGCTACCCTCCGAGCCGCGCCCCTGTCTCAGGCACCTCTCGGACCTCGCTGTGTTTCACTGCCTCCTGCCCACAGACCCAGCCGGCCTGCTGGCCTGGACCCATCCCAGCCTCCCCTCCCCTCCCCAGCCAATGCAGCACCCTGGGGTAGCCCCTGGGCCCCTGGGGACCCTCCCTCCCCAAGTGGCTGTGCAGGCCAGGAGGCCCCCAGATGGACTGAGTGCTGGGAAGGTGGGGCATGAGGGTTATCAACCCTCCCACACTCTTCCCATGGGGACCACCAAGTGAATGCATGTGCTACGCTGCTACAGGCCTTTGTCTGTCCATCTGTTTGTCTGTCTGTGTGTCTGTGACAGTCAGGGAAAGATACCTCTGAGCTGGAGTGGGATGAGACAGAACAGAAAAGGACAAGACATGGCAGGGAGGGCCCCGAGGGGCAGGGGTGTGGACAGGAGGCTCACAAGGAGTGGGGCAGGGCACTGACCATTCCAGAAATGGGTTTCAATGGCACGACACTTTCTATTCTACAAGAGACCAAAAATCAGAGGCCCGGGGCTGACCCCTGGCCCTGGCAGGGGTAGGGCCCAGTGGGGACTCCCTCATTCACAGTCAGGGTGGGGGTGCTCTGTCTGGGAATGAGGGAGTTAGCCAAGCGTGGCACAGGAGCAGGGCCATTTGTTGGGGTGGAGGTATTTGGAAACACTATTTCTTAGCTCAAATAAAATCCAGTTTGTACCCAGTTGGTGTGCCGCGTTTTCTTTTCTGCCGCCGTCACTGCCACCACATGGCCCTTTGGTTCCCCTCTTGATTCCCTCTTGCCTTTCGTGACTTTTCCCTCCCTGGGCCAACCTGGGTGGCCATCTCAAAGCCAGGTCTAGGAGCTCCTTGCTGTCCTGGCTGGGTGGGTGGACCTTCCCTGTCTCCAGAGGAACAAAATGCATCTCTCTCTCTGTGTCTGTCTCTCTGTGTGTGTGTGTGCGTTTGTCTCCCTCGCCCTGTGTGTCTCTGCTCTGTGTGTGCCCCCTGTGGCTACCTTCCCCCAGCACACCCTGAAAGCCGGTCCCTGGCCGTGCTGGCCCCCCTGCAGGACGTGAACGTGGGGGCCGGGGAGATGGCGCTGTTTGAGTGCCTGGTGGCAGGTCCTGCCGACGTGGAGGTGGACTGGCTGTGCCGTGGCCGCCTACTGCAGCCTGCCCTGCTCAAATGCAAGATGCATTTCGATGGCCGCAAATGCAAGCTGCTGCTCACCTCTGTTCATGAGGACGACAGTGGTGTCTACACTTGCAAGCTCAGCACAGCCAAAGGTAATGACTTGTTCAGGCCCTAGGGCTGCCGTGGGCACCAGACCTGGGTGTGGGGGATAGAGGGGAGAGAGCTGGGTGCAAAATAAAACACCTAGGAAACAGGGTCTCATATCCTTGGGGAGGTGGGGTGGGGTAGGAGATAGTATAGTACTCAAAACAATGAAGCTTCCAATAGTACCTGGCACTGAGAGGGCTCCTGTGTCCGCTGAGATGTAGAGAGCAAATCTAGATTTGTGCTCCTGTTCTTGTCCTACAAGCTCCCAAACAAGCGTCTTTGGACAAGTCCCTTCCTCTGTTTGAGCTGTAGGCTATTCAACTGTAAAAGGGGATCAGGCTAATAACGCACTTTCTAAGGGGACTGCAGGGATTACGTAAATTAGAAAAAAGCACTGTGATGCCTGGGGGTACCTACTAAATGCCAGCTGTTTTGCTATTGATGACATCTCTGACCTGATCCAGAGCTCATGTGAAGAAGAGATGATGGCACCTGCCTCACCAGGTTGTAGGCAAGGTGTAGGCTCACCTCACACCATCATGGAAGGTGAAGTGAGAGGGACTTAGTAAGCAGGAAGAAGCATCAGGTCCGTGTAGGGATTGTTATCTCTCCTCAGAAGATTCTTTACTGGGGATAGAGTAGGGGCCAGGGGCAATTGCTGGGCATGGGACAGGTGGGAGGGAGTTGTGGGATGACAGAGGAGAGTTCTAAGAGTTGGAAGCTGGGGAGGCAGTGGACTTGCCTTTTAGGACCTTCTCACAACCCAACTCCTTCATCCTGCACAGGCAGGGTGAGGTAAGAGGGAGCCCTGGGCCAGGCTCTGGGCAGCCTGCTGCCTCTCCTTACTGACCTCCTGAGAAAGCCTGGCAAATGGATCTTTGCCCACTGCCTTGCCCCCAGCCCTGTTCCCAGAACTTCTGTAGGACTCTGTCCAGGTTCCTTGAGGCTGGGCAGGACCCATGAGGTAGGGTGCCTGGGCCTCTGTGGCCTTCCCTGGCCCAGTGCTGCCTCTCCCCTGCAGATGAACTGACCTGCAGCGCCCGGCTGACCGTGCGGCCCTCACTGGCGCCCCTGTTCACCCGGCTGCTGGAAGACGTGGAGGTGCTCGAGGGCCGTGCTGCCCGCTTCGACTGCAAGATCAGCGGCACCCCACCACCGTCCGTTACCTGGACTCACTTTGGTACACACCCCCCTCCCTATGCCCCTATGCAGATATTGGGAGATCCCAAGGGCCCAGAGCAGGATGGAGTGTATACAGAAGGCAGGGCCCCTGCTATACCGGCTCTGCCCTCCTGTCCTTCCCACCTCCAGGTCACCCTGTAGAGGAGAGTGAGAACTTGCGGCTGCGGCAGGAAGGAGGTCTGCACTCACTGCACATCGCCCACGTGGGCAGCGAGGATGAAGGGCTCTATGCAGTCAGTGCGACCAACACCCACGGCCAGGCTAACTGCTCGGCCCAGCTGTATGTGGAGGAGCCTCGGACAGCCGCCTCAAGCCCCAGGTACCTCCTGGGGCTCCAGGTGCTGTCAGCGCTGCTAACTCTGCCTCTCAGGAGCCCCCATCCTGCACTGGGAGGTGCAGCCCTGTACCTCTGGGCAACCATGTGGTTCTTACAGCTCAAAGCTGGAGAAGATGCCGTCCATCCCTGAGGAGCCGGAACAGGGCGAGCTGGAGCGGCTGTCCATTCCTGACTTCCTGCGGCCACTGCAGGACCTGGAAGTGGGACTGGCCAAGGAGGCCATGCTAGAGTGCCAGGTGACTGGCCTGCCCTACCCCACCATCAGCTGGTTCCACAATGGCCACCGCATCCAGAGCAGTGACGACCGGCGCATGACACAGTGTATGTGTCCAGGAAGGGACCCTTGTGGCACCCTCTTGTCTTTCAGGGCCCTCCCATCAGCCCACCCTTCATTAGGGCCTTCCCTTTTGTAGCTCGACCAGAGATGTGGTGTCTGGCAAAGGGGCCCTCCAGGGCTGTGAGGTCATTGTGTCCCTTCTTGATCCCACACGGTGCCCATCTGTTAATCACCCCTTGATGGCACCTTTAGCACTTACAAAAGGTAGCCCAGCCTGATACTGACCAGATTGTCGAACCCATCTGTGCCTCAGTCTCCTCCTCTGTTACAGGGGTGCTGCTAGAATCGCATCAGCTTGTCTGTGTAAAGCACTAAGAGCCATGCCAGGCAGACAGCGCGTGGCCTGCAGCTKCTCCCCTTCACCAACTGCACCCTTGCTGCCATGCTCCTCAAAAAGGAGCCCCTGATAAAGCCCATGCTTCCTGAGAAGTTTCAAGGAAAGGGCAAGGGTGGCAGCATCTGGCAGGGAAGGCAGCTTGGTCCTGGGTTGTTAACAAATAGCCAGCAAGGCAGAAGGAGGCAGGGGAAACAGAGGGCCATGTTGGGTTGGCATCCTCTAGGCCTGAGCTGTGTTCCCCAGGGAGCACTTTTATTCCATCCTTGAAGGAAACTGATTCTCACTCGAGGTCTGCCTGCCTCTTTAAGTTGTGCCTATACTGTCACCCATGATGGACTTCTCCTGTAGCCACAAGTGACCAAGGTCCTCTTGCTGAGTGCTCAAGACCTGATGTGTATGATCTTACCTTGCCACAGGCCTGTAAGGCAGGCACTATAAGCCCTGTTTACAGATGGGGAAACTGAGGCTTACAGAGGTACAGAGACTTGCTCAAAGACAAGTAAGGACCACCTGACTTGTGCCCATCTCCTAAAGGATGCTCCCAATCACCATGTCCCAGTCTCTCAACTCTACCCTCACCCTATCTCCAGAGCCACAGCTGCAGCTCTGGCCTTTCCACTCGGTCCCCTCCAGCAGCGATTACTGCGCAGCCCCAGGCCTTCCTATCTCCCCATCGGCTTGGAGACCGTGGGTGGGTGTCTGTCTCAGGATCTGAGCTGGCGTCTCTGCTTCTGCCTGAATCTGGGGTCACTGGCAGCCTCTGGCTTCACTTTCCTTATAAATAGTGTCAGCAGAGATAAATGAACGGGTGACTGTTCTATGCAGAGATAACCGCTAAGAGAAGGGAGGGTGTTTGGGGCCATTCCTGACGTGAAGGAGGACAGTGCAAGCCTCCTCATTTCTGTGTCCTACCCAGAGACAGCCTCCTTATCACTCAGGGAGCAGAGTGTAAGGAAAGAGACTTGGAGGAGATGAAACTGAGTTCAAGCCACGGCTTCATCGCTTATTAGTTGTGTGACCTTGGGCAAGTCAATTAATGTCTCTGACCTCATTGGTAAATGGGATAATTTTGTAGAGTTGTTGAAAGTATTAGGATTTCGGGTCAAGGCTGGACACCCAGTAGATGACTTGTTGCAATTCATAATATCACATGTATTTGTTACTTACTGCATGTGAGGCATTGGTTCAGGGTGGGACAAGCAGATTTGGGAAAAAGCAGCCTGGTCTTTAAAGGGACAGACTGGGTAGGCGATATGGCTCCTGGAAGTGAAGAGGAAGAGCCCTGCAATGGCCAGTAATGCACACCCAGCCACCTGCCACGGAGAGCCGGGGCATGGCACAGGGAAGAGAGCCAGGGCATGGTAGGGTAGGCTTCACTAGAATTGTGTCTCAGAGAGAAGGAAGGCTTAGGTCCGAGGAGAACATTCCAAGAGGGAGGAATTTGTGAGCAAAAACGTAGAGATGGAGCTCCTGTGGCTTGTTCAGGGACCTGATGGTCTGTCAGGGTCAAGACATGGAGGAGTAGCAAGGGACACGGCTGGAAGGGAATTTGGACTGAAGGGTTTTCCTCARCCTCTGCTGGAGATGGGTGGAAGGGCAGCTGCCCTGGGGCTGGAGAAGAGGACTGGAGGAGGAGCCTAGGAGCAAAGCTGTGTCAGAGCCTTGACCTGAAGGTTGTGACCCAGTAGAGGTGAGGGAATGAGGAAGCAGCCGACAGGAGAGGGACCCCAGAGGATGCCCCAGTGTGGGAGGAAGCTGTGAAATTACTGGGCATGAAGAGCAATAAGAGGGTCCAGCACTGCTGGCTTCGACCACTCGAAGGACATACTTCTTTCTGCCTCCCCGTCTGTCCCCACTTGCCTCCTCCTTGCAATGGGTAGCGGTTCACCCCTCAAAGCATCCTCCTAGCTTAGCCTCCATGTCACTGTACCTCCCCCACCAGACAGGGATGTACATCACCTGGTGTTCCCTGCGGTGGGACCTCAGCATGCTGGCGTCTACAAGAGTGTCATCGCTAACAAGCTGGGCAAAGCTGCCTGCTATGCCCACCTCTATGTCACAGGTAAGGCACCCTCCTAGCAGCTGCACCCATAGCCAAACCTCCAGTACCACCTGGGTGCTGAGGGAGGGAGGGGCCTCCACCAGTTTCCCCCTGGTTCCCTGGAAATCTTCTAGCCTTGCCCCTGCCCCTGGTCCCCAGCCTCATTCCCTGAAGCTCAGTGATCCTGTGGTGCTCTTGGGCCCTGAAAGATCCATGGACCTCCAACCTGTGGCTTTCAGATGTGGTTCCAGGTCCCCCAGATGGTGCCCCRCAAGTGGTGGCTGTGACGGGGAGGATGGTCACACTCACATGGAACCCCCCCAGGAGCCTGGACATGGCCATCGGTGGGTCAGGGCCATGCGGGGCTTTGGGTGGGGATTGGGGATGGGCAGGGCAGGCTCAGGCAGGGGTATCAAGGACACCAGGCCCCCAAGAACATGGTGGGAGGCAGGAGCAATGGAGTGTTGGGAGTGAAGCCAGGAGCACCTCCGCTGTCTTCTCTCCATGGTGGATGAGGCCCTGGCTCCAGGTCAGGAGAGGAGCCGTGGAGCATCACCACATCCTTGCCCTTTCTCAGTGGGACTAGGTTCCTGGGTCTTGATCCTGGCCATGTTCTTTTCTGCCCTTGTCCAGGATCTCTTCCTGGTCAGTTTCCGTACCTCTGGGAGCAAGGATTTGGGTACAAGTCCAGGGCAAGTGGAATGCTAGGCCCTTCCTCCACATCTGAAGGGGTTGGCAATGGGCAGCTTGAGGGCTTTAGGGCTGGCGTAGGCAATGAGAAAGCAGAGCAGGTGGGAGGCAGGCAGGAAACTTCAGGGGAAACTGAGGCACGCACTCAGAGAAGACCGGGGATGAGTTCCAGGACCCTGAGTGGGCGGGATGAGGAGGCACAGTGACCCTGTGACATCAGCCTCTAGCAACTGTCTCCCCTCCAGACCCAGACTCCCTGACATACACGGTGCAGCACCAGGTGCTGGGCTCAGACCAGTGGACAGCGCTGGCCACAGGTCTGCGGGAGCCCAGGTGGGCGGCCACAGGGCTGCGGAAGGGGCTCCAGCATGTCTTCCGGGTCCTCAGCACCACCGGCAAGAGCAGCAGCAAGCCCTCACCCCCATCGGAGCCCACACAGCTGCTGGAGCATGGTGAGCAGGGGACTCCAAGGGCAGGGCTGAGGGGAGACTAAATAACCATGGCAGGAACAGTGTGGCTGAGTGGGATCCTGGCCCATCAGTGGCAGCAGGGCCCAGAGACAAAGCTAAGGCCCTGGGGTCAGACAAGCTGTAGTCTAGCCCTTGCTCTGCTGCTTCCTGGCTGTGTTCCCTGCACAAAAGACTAAACCTCTCTGAGCCCCAGCTTCCTCATCAACTCTGGTGATGATCGGGGTAAGAGAGGAGCAGTGGGTGTTGAGTTCTCAACATCAGCCCCATATGGAGCCTGTGTTCCCCTTCTCCCAGGCCCACCCCTGGAGGAGGCCCCTGCTGTGCTGGACAAACCAGACATCGTGTATGTGGTAGAGGGACAGCCTGCCCATGTCACCATCACCTTCAACCATGTGGAGGCCCAGGTCGTCTGGAGGAGGTAGGACTCCTTACCTGCTGACCCATTCCCCGTATGTAATAGTCCAGCCCCAACTTGGCCTAGGAGGACCTCCTGTCCTGTCTTGTGTCCCTTAGCTGCCGAGGGGCCCTCCTGGAGGCACGGACAGGTGTGTATGAGCTGAGCCAGCCGGATGATGACCAGTACTCTCTTCGGATCTGTCGGGTGAGCCGCCGGGACGTGGGGTCACTCACCTGTACTGCCCGCAACCGCCATGGCACACAGGCCTGCTCGGTCACACTGGAGCTGGCAGGTGGGTGACAGTAGGCATTCTTCCCATTCCTTCCTCTGAAGCACACTTCTGGTGTACACACCCACCTGCCTCTGGGGATCACATCCCATGTCCTCCCTCTCAGGCTTGTACATCTAATGGCAGTAATAATACCAGTACTAGTAATAATAGCAGTGATAATACTAATAAAATATTGATTGGGCACCTAGTATGTGCCAGGATCAGTGATGAGTGTTTTACATAGATCACTTCATTTAATACCTATAGCAAGCTCATGCAATGGGGTTGGTTATTATCCCCATTTTATAGGTGAGGAAACTGAGGCTCAAAAGTGTGCTAACTAACCTGGCCCAAGGAGCCAGGTTAAATAAATAAATAAATACAGGAGCTGGGTTCAAGTRTGGATGTCAGACTCCAAAGCCCTGGCTCTTATGCTAAGCCCAACAGGAAAGAGATCTCAGCTATAACAAGAGTGGGAAGACTGAATTAATAAAAACAAGCAAAGCCCCTGAGCGCAGCTTATCGCCCAACTCCCATCTCTGAGGCTCTTGGCTGCCTTTTTGTACAACCCTCTTTGACCGGGCCTCCCAACCTTCACAGCAAGTCCCCTTTTTATAATTTCTCCTTTAAGGATGTAGCCTCTTAAGCCGTAGCATGCTTAAGTAGTAATTGTTTTGTTTTCCGGTGGTTAATTAACTCCAGACATCTGTAACTGCCACTCAGAACTTCAGGTCCACATGAGCTGAACAGTGCTACCTGCTGAGTGATATAATTCCAGCCAAAAGCAAAGAAAGTGACATGTTAGTTAGCACAGGCGATCTGGGCAAATGGCCATTTTCCAGTGCTTTAAAACCATCATGGACATTCACTTGAAACTTTCTGGTGCTTTGACCTTCATAGCTTGCTTCCCCACTCACCTGGGGACCAGATTCCTAGAAAGGAGGGAAAGCAGTAAGGGGTGAGAAGACGAGATGGGAACCCTCCTGACTTGGAGGTGAAGAGGGTAGATGGGTTGGGGCCACAGATTCCTGGGGGCCCCCTTTGGAGAGTCTTGCCCTTTGCCCAGCCATGATCCCCAGCACTTCCTACTCAGTCACTGCTTTGTTCCCCAACAGTGCCATCTGCAAGACTCATCTTCCTTCCCAGACACAGCCCTATGTTTGCAGCATAGAGAGGCCCTGGCCCTAAAAGCCCTGCAGCCCAGTTTGGCCAGAGCAGTGAATGAGGGAGACTATGTTCCACCCAGCCAGGGCTAAAATGGACCTGGAGCTTGCATTAGCACCCCCATTCACTGGGCTCCAGCCGGGCAGGGCAAGTGGAATGCTAGCCCCCTTCCTCCACATCAGCTACATTGCAGTGTCTGTCCCCCACATTCCTAGAACAGAGCCCCCTGCTGTCTGCATAAAGCCAAGTGGGTCCCTGAAGTGGGTCTATACCTGGCCACCCTGCTCCTCTCTGAGGTCCTGATCACTCCCACTCTCCTTAAAGCCAAGATCCTCAAACATGCTTAGGACAGAGCACATGGAAATCATAGGCTTCTTCACAAATGTATTTAATGCAAAAATATATTTAATTAATGAGAATTAGAAATGGCTTTGCAGGTCCACATGTATGTGGAGGATAAAATCAATCACCTGTGGGAGAACTAAGTAGAAAGTTAGCTTCTAGACTGKCTGGTTAACATTTGGGGGTTATCTTGCTGTCTTCCAGATGGTAGAAAGTCCCCTAAACATTTAAATAAGATTCAGATGGAAAAACTTTAAGATAAAGGTAATGTTGCCAGGAGTGGTGGGGAACGTCTCTCACTCAGCTCTTTAGGAGGCTGAGGCAGGAGAATCAAAAGTTCAAGGCCAGCCTAGGCACTCAGAAAGACTCTCTCTCAAAAAATAAAAAAGGCCGGGGATGTAACTCAGTGAYAGAGGGCTTATCTAGCATCTAGCTCAATTCCCAGTCCACAGAATAAAGAGAAAAAGAAAGTACCACAGAAAAAAAGGCCATGTCATCATTGAGCAGTAGTCTGGTGGAACTGTGAGAAGGGCAGTCGCCCACAGGGGGCAGCATTGAGCTGCACSGTGCTTGTTGGTTAATACAAGAAGGGAAGTGGCTCAGGATGGCCAGTCCTRATTTTTCAAGAGACAGGAAATCCAGATTTCTTTTATGTGTGACAACTCTCCTAATTTCAAAGCTAGTAAATGAACGCTGAAGGTCAAACCAAGTAAGCCTGTACCTGTGACGGTTTTTCGGAGATTTGGAGAACGTTATGTTTGGATTTATAGGGAGAACACTTGGTCCAGGCAAGGAACTTTGGTGTTCTGAGGGGTAGTTGGCCTGGGAGGCTAGGGCCTGGCATTCCGAGAAGCCAGTTGCTGATGGGGTTTAGAAGAAGGACGGAGAAGGCAGGACTTTGGAGAACGTGCTAATCCCGCCCTTCTACTCACCTGTTCCTGTATGTTTCAGAGGCTCCCCGGTTTGAGTCCATCATGGAGGATGTGGAGGTTGGGGCTGGAGAAACCGCTCGCTTTGCTGTGGTGGTTGAGGGGAAACCGCTGCCAGACATCACATGGTACAAGGTCAGTGGGTGATATAGGCCTCAGCAGGGATCAGGCCAGCTTGCCCGAGCCTGGCAGATGGGGAAGGGGTCCCCTGGGAGCTTGAGAGGTTCTGGAGGCCTTAGGAACAAGGAGTCTGGGCAGAGATGTGGTTAGGAGGAGGAAGTGGGATCCAGGTGATTGACTAAAAGGTGCAGGTCTTTTAGCTAAGCTAAGGGAGAAGCTGACTCTGGGTCCTGGAGGAGCAAGGCCACTGGTWTGGAGATGCCACCTGGTGAATGGGCTGCTGGCTCACAGATCTAGATGAATCTGGGTCTCTAGTATGGAAATAAAGCTGGGTGCCAGGTGGAGGTGAGGCCAGGCCCAGGCTGGAGGTAACACCTACCTCTGCAGGACGAGGTGCTGCTGGCTGAGAGCAGCCATGTGAGCTTTGTATATGAAGAGAACGAGTGTTCCTTGGTGGTGCTCAGCACGGGGACCCAGGATGGGGGCGTCTACACCTGTACTGCCCGGAACCTGGCAGGGGAAGTCTCCTGCAAAGCAGAGTTGGCTGTGCACTCTGGTGAGCTGTAGTTCCTGGGGAGAAGGGCCAGATGCCCACTTCCAGGAACATGATGTGAGCCCCTGCCCTTCACTCCTGACCATCGCATCCCCCAGCCCCAGCTCCCCACCTTAGGCCCCAATATTCTTGCTCCTCTTCTGTCTCCTTCAGTTTCCTCATTGGTCCCAGTCTCTACCCTTGTCCCTTTCATGCCCTCCTCACCTAACCTCAGGACATCTGTTTCCACAGCTCAGACAGCTATGGAGGTYGAGGGGGTCGGGGAGGATGGAGAACATCGAGGAAGGAGACTCAGCGACTTTTATGACATTCACCAGGAGATTGGCAGGTGTGGAGCTGGGAAGCACCAACGTAGGGGGCCAAGAGAGGCTGGTGGGTCCGAGGGCCAGAAGAGGGTAGASGACAGGGCTGCAGCTGAGGACTGCTACCTTCCTTGTATCACCCAGGGGTGCCTTCTCCTACCTGCGGCGTGTGGTGGAACGCAGCTCTGGCCTGGAGTTTGCGGCCAAGTTCATCCCCAGCCAGGCAAAGCCCAAGGCATCAGCCCGGCGGGAAGCCCGGCTGCTGGCCCGGCTTCAGCACGATTGCATCGTCTACTTCCATGAGGCCTTCGAAAGGCGCCGGGGACTGGTCATTGTCACTGAGCTGTATCCTGGGACAGGCTGCAGGGGAGTGGAGGGTACCCATGCCTGGGTTATCATTTACAAAGTGGACCTGGTGACAACTGGGAGGATTAAGTCTGGAGGCTTCTGTGAAAACCAGTCTTTTTTTTTTTTTTTCTAGCTTAGTCTTACATAGCATTTAATATGTGTCTGGCAGTGTTTTATGAGTTTTGCAATTATCAGCCTATGTAAGTCTCATGTAAATCTACCTGATGGGATTTTATTATCCAGTTTTGAAGGATGATGAAACAGGTATGAAGAGGTTAAATAACTGGCCCAAGGWCACATAGCTAACAAATGGCGTATGCTTTTTAATCACAAAATGCAGGATAGTAACTGAGTGGCACACATCTGTAATCCCAGCAACTCCAGAGGCTGAGGCAAGAGTACTGCAAACTCAAGGCCTGTTTCAGTCTGGGGCTGGGGTTATGGCTCAGTGGTAGAGCGCTTGCCTAGCATGTGTGAGGCACTTGGTTTGATTCTGAGCACCAGATATAAATATATAAAATAAAGATCCATTGACAACTAAAAAATATTTTTAAAAAATTATCAATCCCAGTGCTGGGGTGTAGGGGCAGGGAAAGACACAGTGAGAAGAGCCCACTTCAAATGAGCAGCTATGCTTGGCTTTATTTGGGAGGCTGTTTTCATTTTAAAAAAAAATAGATATTACCTTTCATGAAAGCTTCAGTTAAACAAAGGCACTTTGAATTAAGGATGCTGGGTGATTGATTCAACTCTCCTATCTCAGGGTGACCATGACCTGCTCACCAGTCTCCCAGGCCTCACTGTTCAAACATAAACCTCAGCAAAATGACAAATTTTTCCATGTTATAGACCTCTGGCTCATTACCAGATAGCATCAAGAAGTTCCTTCCACAGTCAACAAGATTCTTCTGTGATTTTTTTAAAAACTTTTTAAAACTTTATTTTACTAGTTTACTTTTTTGTRTGGTGTTAAGACTCAAACTCAGTGCCTCTCATGTGCTAGGCAAGTGCTCCACCACTGAGCCACAACCCAGCCCCCTCTTCTATGATTTGATCCCTATAAATACTTCATCAGGTGGGCAGGRGAGAGTGTTATTCCCATTTTATACCTGAGGGAACCTCGACTCAGAGAAGATAAGTGACTTGCCTGAAGTCCTGCAATAAGTGAGTTGTCCAGYGAGTGAGTTGTCCCATCTTGCACCCACATGATGGGGAAAGGGTGAGGACAACTCTGACGGGTATCAGATGTGCTTTGAGGGGAAGGAGAAGCCTGTGCAGAGCTAAGGCCCATGCTGATCTCTGGGGCTGGGCCAGGCAGTCTGCACTGGTCACTGTTCTCCTTGATCCAGGACATAGCTGTACAGAGGAGCTGCTGGAGAGAATGGCCAGGAAACCCACCGTGTGTGAGTCTGAGGTGAGGGCAGTGGGTGGCAGGGGCCAGGTTGGGAACCAGCCTTCACCCATCTGAGCTCAGAGAGTCAACAGGGGGGTGCCCCACATGCCACCTCTGCCCATGAGGAAGCCAAGGGTGGTGGTGGAGAGCATTGTTAGGCAGGCAACAGAACTCCCCACCCTGGGGGAACCACACCCCATCTCTTTGGGACTTGTACTGTCCTCTGATCTCAGCAGACCCACCCTAAGCCCTAGCAGTGTTGGTTTGGTCTTTCTCACGTACACATTCCCCAATTGTGTCTCAGAAGCAGCCCCACCTAGACTCTGGGTCTCGTTGCCATCATCCTGCAGGGTCTGGCTGTACATRCTATACACTGCACAGCTCTATATTTCATAATGTAAAGTCCCCTATAATTGTGCTGTTCCCAACTTGTATAGCTGTACTTGATAACCCTAGGTCTTAGCAACTCCAAACTTGTGTTTCAACCCCCTCCGTGAGCCATCTGAAAGCCACTCCCCTGGCCTGGTGGTGACCAAGCATAGCTCCCCACACTACCCCCAAGGACTCTGGGCTTCCTGTTTCCACAGATCCGGGCCTATATGCGTCAGGTACTAGAGGGAATATGCTACCTGCATCAGAGCCAGGTGCTGCACCTCGATGTCAAGGTGAGGCAGAGAGGGGAGAGCAGGCAGCCTCTGATCAGTACATGAGGCAGTGTGTACTTTACTCAGCTTCCTCATGTTGCTTGTGTTTCATAGCCCGAGAACCTGCTGGTGTGGGACGGTGCAGACGGCGAAGAGCAGGTGCGCATCTGTGATTTTGGGAATGCCCAGGAGCTGACTCCAGGAGAGCCCCAGTACTGCCAGTATGGCACACCTGAGTTCGTAGCTCCCGAGATCGTCAACCAGAGCCCTGTGTCTGGAGTCACTGACATCTGGTAATGCTGGCATGCTCAGCCACTGGGTGGGCCATGTTGGGGACTTAGCTCACCAGCAAAGAGGAGCATTATGAGCATTCTCTGACAGTGCCTGGTGGCCGTGTTCACAGGGTCTCTTGCCCATGTAGGAGTCTTGCAGTCCTYGGCTCCTGGCTCCCTTGGGGGTGGGGCCGCCCCAGTGAGACAGACATGCTCTCATTGGTGCYCAGACTTCTCTGGGCTTCATGACAGGTCAGCCCTGTCATGAGCCTTTTGAACCACTGGGTTCAGGGGCCTCCCCGAAGGAGACACTACTGTGTCCATTTGTCCAGCATGGTATTCCTTGGGAGGACATCTCAGAGTTGAGGTATCAGAGAACTGCTCACTTCCAGCAGGAGGCAGGCTATCCTCTCACCTGTCCACTCTCTTCCCACAGGCCTGTGGGCGTCATTGCCTTCCTTTGGTAAGAGTCCTCTCCAGTCTCCTAATGGTCTCCCACCCCTAACATTTGCAGGGCCCGCAGCTCACCCCTCTACTCCCACATCTTCCTGCACTTCAAAGGGCCTCACATGCATGAACTTGGATGCCCTGGTCTGCATGTCTGACCTTGTCTACTATYACACCCTCCATAAGAGGTGGACACACTGGACCAGTGCAACTCAGTGCCATTTGGGCAGGAACTGCCTGGTCTGAGTGTCAAGATCATGGACTATAAGGGGTGGGACTCCCTTCACACAGATGCCTCCTCTCATAGAAAGGCCACACGGGAGGTGGGGCAGAACTGGTCCTCTAAAAGCACAAGTAACCAGGTCCCAAGGCAGGACTGTCCTCTGCTCTTCCAGGGGTTGTAGTAGGAGCAGGACAGGCAAGAGTCTGAAGCTTTGGCTTCTTATTCAGATTCACCCAGCCTGTGCCATCCCCACAACCTGGGGCCTCTACCTGCCCCTGGTCCCCTGCATTCTACTTCACTTCTGCCTCAGCCCCAGGACCCTCCTCTCACAACAGTCCTCTCCACCTGCAGTCTGACCGGAATCTCCCCGTTTGTTGGAGAGAACGATCGGACAACACTGATGAACATCCGAAACTACAATGTGGCCTTTGAGGAGACCACATTCCTGAGCTTGAGCAGAGAGGCCCGGGGCTTCCTCATCAAAGTGCTGGTGCAGGACCAGATGTGAGTACAAGACCCCTCATGCCACCGGCCTACTCCTGTTAAGCCTCTGTCCTTAGATATGTAACCCCCAGCTCCTTAGAGGCCCTGTTTTCTCAAACATTTATTAACTATCTGAATAAATGAACAAAAAAATCCCTACTTAATCCTCATTCCTTTACAGGAGACCTACTGCAGAGGAGACTCTAGAACATCCTTGGTTCAAAGTAAGTCTAGTCCTGCCAGTTGGTGGTGGGAGAGGGAGAGAAGACATTATAGCTCAATTTATTGAACATCTACTATATGCACTAACTATGCTCTAGTTTATATACATATGATCTGTTAGCCTCATAATAGCTCAGTAAAGAAAGGCATAGTTCCCATTATTGATAAGGAAATTGGACCCCAATTAAGTGATCAAGTTGGGATATAATGGACTCTAAGTCTTGAATCCCTCCACTCCAGGAGTCCTCTTCAGGGTTCTGTCTGATGCTAGAGATCAGCCCTCATCTTTGTCATTTCTGTATGTCCACCACTGTCCTGTAATGGTCCTCACAGTATGGTGGGTGGGTGGCCTGTAGACTCGGCCTCTTATTATGATCTCCGTGAGGACAGGGTTCTCATTCATCTTCAAACCCCAGCACCCCAGAGCACAGTGCTAGGCACAGAGGTGTGGGTATAGCAACTGAGTCCAGAAAGAACACTTGAATAAACTCCATTGAGTGCTTGCTGTGCTGGGTCAGCAGAAGACTTCAGTCATTCTGCTAGCAGTCCTTGAGGTAAGAGCCTCCTCAGATCAGAAACAAGAGCCATGTGGGTGAGGGTGGCTCAGGGAAGCCTCTGTCTTTGTCCAGACCCCAGCTCCTGATGCCTGGAATGTGGCGTTACAAGGAGACAGAAGGGCAACTAGGGGCCAGCCAGGGGCTAAGATCACAGCCTTCCCAGACAGCCAGTGTACAGGAGAGGACCTTGAGCCCCCGGTGTCAGCTCAGAAGCCATTCCTGGGAGCCACCCAATTTCTACCTGTCCCCTTAGATTCAGGGAGTTTGTCCACAAGTGTGCACCCTGACTATAGTAGTTGTCCTGATTAATCAAAGGGAAAGAGGACCCCCAGGAGCCCAGACTCAGTGCTGCCATTCCATGCCTTCAACCCCCAGTGGACTTTGTCTCTCCATTGCCAAACCTTGAGGGTCTAGGTTAATAGAGAGCTGACCCTCTGGTCCTCTTTCCTGGGTTTGCAGACACAGGCAAAGGGAGCCGAGGTGAGCACAGATCACCTGAAGCTCTTCCTGACACGTCGGAGGTGGCAGGTGAGTGGCTCAGCCCTGCCTCTGTTCCTTCACCATCTAATTTTCTCTCATCTGGTCTGTTTTCCGTGTGTGCCCTCACCTCCTGCTCCTCTGTGTGTGTGGTCTCAATTCTGGCTTTCCTTATGCCCCCACCCCTCTGCCTGCCTAGGCCTCCTTCTCCAGGGCTGAGGTGGGCCTGAGGGGTGGCAATCCTGCCTGGGGGTCCCTCAGGTCTGACTCTAGCACCCTGTCTCCAGCGCTCACAGATCAGTTACAAATGCCACCTGGTGCTGCGCCCCATCCCAGAGTTGCTGCGGGCGCCCCCAGAGAGGGTGTGGGTGGCCATGCCCAGAAGAACACCCCCCAGTGGGGGGCTCTCATCCTCCTCGGACTCGGAAGAGGAAGAGCTGGAGGAGTTGCCCACTGTTCCCCGCCCCCTGCAGCCCGAGTTCTCTGGCTCCAGGGTGTCCCTCACAGACATTCCCACTGAGGATGAGGCCCTGGGAACCCCAGAGGCTGGTGCTGCCACTCCCATGGATTGGCAAGAACTGGGAAGGGCTCCCTCTCAGGACCAGGAGGTTCCCAGCCCTCAGGCCCTCCCCTCTCCAGGCCAGGAGCCCCCAGCTGGGTCCAGTCCCAGGCGGGGAGAGCTCCGCAGGGGTAGCTCCGCTGAGAGCGCCCTGCCCCTGGCGGCGCGGGAGCCGGGCCGGGGCCTGCACAAGGCGGCGTCTGTGGAGCTGCCGCAGCGCAGGAGCCCCAGCCCGGGAGCCACCCGCCTGGCCCGGGGAGGCCTGGGCGAGGGCGAGTACGCCCAGAGGCTGCAGGCGCTGCGTCAGCGGCTGCTACGAGGAGGTCCGGAGGATGGCAAGGTCAGCGGCCTCAGGGGCCCCCTGCTGGAAAGCCTGGGAGGCCGTGCCCGCGACCCCCGAATGGCGCGGGCTGCCTCCAGCGAGGCAGCGCCACACCACCAGCCGCCACCCGAGACGCGGGGCCTGCAAAAGAGCAGCAGCTTCTCGCAGGGAGAGGCGGAGCCTCGGGGGCGGCACCGCCGCGCCGGGGCACCCCTCGAAATCCCTGTAGCCAGGCTTGGGGCCCGCAGGCTACAGGAGTCTCCCTCCTTGTCTGCCCTCAGCGAGGCCCAGCCGCCCAGCCCCGCGCGTCCCAGCGTTCCCAAACCTAGTATCCCCAAACCTAAGGAACCCGCTACTGCCACSCCAGGTGGTTCTCCCCAGCCCTCCGCACCCCTGCCTACCCCCGAGAAGGCCCCAGAGCCCACGCCAGAACCAGGCCGAGCCTCCAGGCCGGCACAGCTCCCCGTGGCTCTGCAAACCCCAGCGCTGCCCCTCACGCCCTATGCCCAGATCATGCAGTCGCTCCAGCTGGCCGGTCACGCCCAGCCCTTACAGAGCCCCCCATCGCCCTCGTCAGAGCCCAAGCCCCACGCGGCCGTGTTCGCCAGGGTGGCCTCCCCGCCTCCAGGAGTCCCAGAGAAGCGCTTGCCTTCACCCAGGGCTCCCCCAGTGCTAGTCGAGAAAGCCAGGGTCCCCACGGTAGCCCCCAGGCCAGGCAGCAGCCTTAGCAGCAGCATCGAGAACCTAGAGTCAGAGGCGGTGTTCGAAGCCAAGTTCAAGCGCAGCCGCGAATCGCCCCTGTCGCGGGGCCTGCGGCTACTGAGCCGCTCGCGTTCAGAGGAGCGTGGTCCCTTCCGCGGGGCCGAGGACGAGGATGGCATGTACCGGCCCAGCCCGGCGGGAACCCCGCTGGAACTGGTRAGACGGCCAGAACGCTCGCGCTCCGTGCAGGACCTGAGGGCTGTCGGGGAGCCGGGCCTCGTCCGCCGGCTCTCACTGTCGCTGTCCCAGAAGCTGCGGCGGACTCCACCCTCACAGCGCCACCCGGCCTGGGAGGCTCGAGGCGGAGACGGGGAGAGCTCAGAGGGCGGCAGCTCAGCGCGGGGCTCCCCGGTCCTGGCGGTGCGCAGGAGGCTCAGCTCCACGCTGGAGCGGCTGTCCAGCAGGTTACAGCGCAGCGGCAGCAGCGAGGACTCCGGGGGCGCCTCGGGCCGCAGCACGCCGCTGTTTGGACGTCTGCGCAGGGCCACCTCCGAAGGCGAGAGTCTGCGACGCCTTGGCATCCCACACAACCAACTGGCCTCTCAGRCCGGTGCCACTACTCCTTCCGCTGAGTCKCTGGGCTCTGAGGCCAGCGCCACCTCGGGCTCCTCAGGTGAGGAAGGGCTAGGCTAGGGGCGAGCAGGTTCCAAGAGCGAAAGAGGTTGGGGTATGCRGAAAGAAGCTCTAGGAGGGGAGGTTGAGGACACCCCAGAAAGAGGCTTCAGAGGTGCTGGAGCCCTGAGGGTGGAATTGACAGTGCTGGAGAAGAAGGAGGCTGAGAGGCGGAGGCTGGGACGGAGCAAGGCAGAGGCTAGATGATCTTCTACTTCTCTGGGCTGAGGGCTGCGGGGAGGCTGGAGCCAGCTGGTACTGGCTGGGTAAACRAATGCTCATAGGCCTGGGTCTGTGCAGCTCCAGGGGAAAGCCGAAGCCGGCTCCGCTGGGGCTTCTCAMGGATGCGGAAGGACAAGGGCTTATCACAGCCAAACCTCTCTGCCAGCATCCAAGAGGACTTGGGTCACCAGTATGTGCCCAGTGAGTCAGGTAAGAGAGGCCTGCTGGGTGAGCATATCCCTACCCCCACCCCAGGGAGCAGTCCTAGCTGGGTGGGAGGTRAGGAGCCTGGGCAGCCAAGGAAGGGGCCTAGAGTCAGGAAAACAACAAGGATAATCATTGCAACAGCTGCCATTAATTAGCAAAGCCAAGTGTCCTATTAAGCMCTTTACAACTGCTGTCTCATTCAGTGCTGCAGCATTGTTTAGGAACAATTATTGTCATCATCCTATTTTACAGGTGAGGAAACAGGCTTAGTGACTGATGCTAAGTAGCTTTTCCAAGTGGCAGAGCTAGTAAGTGGAGCAGCCAGAGTTGAACTGTGTGACCCTCTGCAGCCAGGGCCCAGAGTGGCTTCGGGGCACTGGATTTGGGCTTTTCTTTAGCCTCTTCTCTCGTGGGAGACTCTAGAAGTATAGTATATAGAACCTGGGTATGGTTTTGAAGGAACCTGAGCTCCTGACTGCCCCCATGGCCACCTTCAAGTGTGTGTACTTGAGTGTACACTCAAAGAAAYACTTTGTCTCCCAGCCTTACTTGTGCCCCCAATTCTCCATTTTTCTACAGCCTGGAACACCTGGCTGCCCTCCTTGCCCCTTCCTTCCACAGAAGGCACATCTGTGAGGAAAAGCAGTCTTCAGGGCTGTTTGCTGGGGGGTGGGGTGGGGTATGCACTGGCTTGTTTCTTGCCCTAGTGTACTGGGCCTGCAGGGAGAGAGGCTTTCTCCACCTAGGGTCACCCTACCTGGAAAAGGGCCTTTACTCAAGGACTGCAAGCAAAGGCTTTGGGATGCCAAGTGTTCCAGACCAGCAGGAAAGACGGGAGCCAACCACCAAACAAGTCTGTGCATGATCTTTATAAGCCACCAGCTCCATTCTTGCCCAGTTCCTGGTTGAACTGCTCAGAATGGCTCTAGCCTGGCCTCAGCTAGGCATGAGGGGACTGTGTCCAGCCGGTATTGAGTGAAGGGGAGGGAGGGAGGCCAGTTGGTGGGGGGAGGGTGGAACAGGAGGGGGAAAGAAGGAAAACATCCAGCAGAGAGGACTGGGGACAGCTGATCCCTTCCCACCTGGGGCCTCYCTCCCTCTCTGTTTTGCTTGTGCAGCTGATTCCCTGCCCAGCAGTGTCCCCTGACCTCATCCTCTCCCAGTAGGAAAAAGCCTGCCCTGTGTCCACTTCACCAACCAGGGCTGGCCCTGGGGGAATGGTGGTAGGGCTGGCATCACTGGCTCAGGTCACCTTTCACCTCTCTTCCTGCCCACTTGGTCTGGAGGCAGCTGTTGATGAAAATATGTTCACATTACATTGGAGCCTCAGAGGGGAACAATGGGTACAGGCAGTCAGGGGAGTGCAGGCTGTTATCCTGGCCATCCACTCCCGCTAAGTATTCCTTTCCTGCTTGCTCATCCCCACTCACACTCCCTCCTGCTTCTTCAGACAGGCAGGAGCCGGGGCTCCCATGGGTCTCTGTGCGCAGGTGATAAAAATCCCCTCATCCCCTGTGGTCAGAACAAGATTTGGGGGTTTTCTAAAGGGAAATTCTAAGGATCACAAACCTAGCTTCTCATGGCACTAAGTAGTCACAGGCCAACTACATTGGAGCAAAGATCCTGGCCCCAGGATCATGGGCAAAGTCACCAGTTCACAGTAAARCAATAGGCAAGGTCACCAGTCCATGGTAAAGCAACTTCTCTGCTTTGCTGAAACAGCCTGTTTTCTGGGTTCTGCTTCTGGCYCTTCTGCTAGACATATTACCAAGAGAACACCATAATAAAATGTTTGTGAGTACTTGTTTCATGCCAGACACATACTAAGCACTTTGTATGACTCTCTTAATTCTCACAACAACCCTCTGAGCTTGGTATTATTATTATTTTCCTCRTTTTGCMGATAAGAAATGGAGCTTCTGAGAGAGTATATGACTTACCCAAAGACAAATAGATACTCCTTGTGTGTGTATGTTGGTGGTGGTGGGAGTACTGGGGATTGAACCCAGGGGCGCTCTAGCACTGAGCATCCCCAKCACTTTTTATTTTTTGAGACAGAGTCTAAGTTGCCTAGGCTGGCTTCAAACTTGTGATCTTTACAGGCTTACACCACCATGCCTGGCTAGGATACTGTCTCTTGCCATTTCAAAAGTTCTTCTTGCTTAGTTGACCTAAAGGAGGAAGTGGAAGGTCTAGGAGTCTGACACTACAGGGGCAAGAAGGCTGGCATACTTCCAGGGGCTGCTCATGATATGTTGAGTTCAGGTCTTTTGAGACTACATTCTGATGGGAGAATCTATGTTCAGTCTCAGATTAGATCACCACCTACTTTCCCTTCCCTTCTCACTTACCTGTGGTGCCCAGGAGTAGGCAGTGCAGAATCTTAACTGTTAACATTTTTCACTATTTGTTTTTATTTTATCTGACAAATGCTTATAGAGCACTTAGCTCCAGACCCTGCTCTAAKTGATTTGCAAATACAAGGTATGTCCTATGCATCTTCAATAACCGTTGCAAGGAAAAGGTAGTCTGCTAAAGACCTGGGGAAAGTGATGCTCACCCCAGAGAAAATTCTCAGGCATGGAGTGAGTTCCCCTTCCCACATCTGGGTGGGAAGAGACAGCCTTGCACTCTGCTCCATGCAGCAKCGCTTCAGGGCTCACACACACACACCCACCCCTCCCTCAGAAAGTAGCCCAGGGCCTGCATACACTGGCTGTCTTTGCTCTGCCTTTAGACTTCCCCCCAGTCTTCCACATCAAACTCAAGGACCAGGTGCTGCTGGAGGGGGAGGCAGCCACCCTGCTCTGCCTGCCAGCTGCCTGTCCTGCTCCCCGAATCTCCTGGATGAAAGGTAAGGAGATTACGGGGAYTGCTGCCACAAACTCTAAATGCAGGAGATGGGAGAGGCCAGGCCTTGGGGTGACCATGGTTCAGGGGAGGCTGGGGCAGGGGCATGGRCACGGGAGAGGGGTCTCTACATGTGCTGCCTCACTCAGCAGCTCCTCCTGCTCCTCCCTGCCCTAGACAAGCAGTCTCTTCAGTCAGAGCCTTCGGTGGTCATCGTGTCCTGCAAAGACGGAAGGCAGCTGCTGAGCATCCCCMGGGCRGGCAAGCGACATGCCGGGCTGTATGAGTGCTCAGCCACCAATGTCCTAGGCAGCATCACCAGCTCCTGTACTGTGGCTGTGGCCCGTGAGTCTGGGGCAGGGCCCCAGTGGGGAGTGATGGGGACAGTAGGGTGGGGCTTAATAGGCCCTTAGCTGGAGTATCACTGAGCCTCTCTCCCTCTTACCAGGTGTCCCAGGAAAACTAGCTCCTCCTGAGGTGCCCCAGACCTATCAGGACACGGCACTRGTGCTGTGGAAGCCAGGAGACAGCCGGGCTCCTTGCACGTACACACTGGAGCGGCGGGTGGATGGTGAGGAACAGGGCAGGATGGTGAGGGGAGGAAGGTGGCAGGTGGCAAGTAAGGGGAGTCTGGGAAGGCAAGTGTCCTGCTTACACAGAGGTCCCTTCCCATGTTCTTAGACAGTATTGGGAGCTTGGGCCTCCCCTTCTGTGGCCTTATACCCGTCCCTATGCTGCCCGCAGGGGAGTCTACCTGGCACCCCGTGAGCTCAGGCATCCCTGATTGTTACTACAACGTGACACACCTGCCCATTGGTGTAACTGTGAGGTTCCGCGTGGCCTGTGCCAACCGTGCTGGGCAGGGYCCCTTCAGCAACCCTTCTGAGAAGGTCCTCGTCAGGGGCACTCAAGGTCAGTGGCTGGAGGGGGTGACAGGAGAAAGAAGGGGAGCCTGAGTCCTGGGTCTTCCCCGGCTTGGAGCATGGTGGCTTTGCCCCCAGGACACATGGTGATGATTTTCTTTGTTTCTTCTTAGATTCTTCAGCTCGGCCATCTGCTGCTCGCCAAGATGCCCCTGTTACCTCAGGGCCAGCCAGGGCCCAGCCTCCTGACTCTCCTACCTCACTGACCCTGACCCCAGCTCCCCCAGCCCCCCAGTCAGCCTCTTTCAGCCCCTCAGCCCCTCTCACGCCCCCCAGCCAGGCCTGGTCGTCACTCAAGGCTGTGGGTCCACCACCCCAAACCCCCCCACGAAAGCACAGGGGCCTGCAGGCCACTCAGCAACCAGAGCCCACCCTACCCAGTGCCCAGGTCACCCTAAGTGTGCCCAAGTCTTTTGTTCCTGACACTGGGACAGGGACTCCAACCTCCACCCCCCAAGCAGTTAAACCAGCGTCTTCCTCCACTCCCCTGTATATGGTGACTTCCTTTGTGTCTGCACCCCCAGCCCCCGAGCCCCCAGCCCCTGAGCCCCCTCCTGAGCTCACCAAGGTGCCTGTGCGGAGCCTCAGCCCAGGCAGAGAGGTGGTCGGCTCCCCTGGGGGCGGCCCCCCCAGGTCCCCCACACCAGAGGGCACTACTCTGAGACAGGGCCTCCCTCAGAAACCCTACACCTTCCTGGAAGAAAAAGCCAGGCAAGTAGGACCAGGGAAGGGAAGGAGGGAAGAACGGGGAGAGAGTTGGATGTAGGGAACACAGCCGGGGACAGCCCAGCAGACTGTCCTGGCCAGCCTTGGGGAAAGGTGCTGAGATGCAGGTCCTTGGAACTGTTGAGTTCAGGGCTGGGGATGTGACTCAGTTGCAGAGCACTTGCCCAGCATGTGCAAGGCATGGGCTCAATCCCACATGCAAAACACAAAATAAGTTGTGAGTTCAGACRTGCCAGGTGCCATCCTGAGCTTGATAGCCACATGTTCTCAATCCTCACCACTCTAGAGGAGGCACTATCCTACTGTCATCACCCATCGCACAGGTGGGAGGAGAGCTGAGGTTGGAGAGCACGTGAGAGCTGCCCAGGGTAGAGAGCCAGGAGTGCAGAGGTGGATGTTCCCAGGACTGAGCTCTAGAGCCCACAGGGGAACCCACTGCATTCTTGTCCCCTTAGTCCTCACAAGGAATATACCCCTGAACCTGTGGTGTCCCCCTACTCACACAGGGGCCGCTTTGGTGTCGTGCGAGCATGCCGGGAGAATGCCACAGGCCGTACATTTGTGGCCAAGATTGTGCCATATGCAGCAGAGGGCAAACGGCAAGTCCTGCAGGAATATGAAGTGCTCCGGACACTGCACCACGAGCGGCTTATGTCCCTGCACGAGGCCTACATMACCCCTCGGTACCTTGTGCTCATTGCTGAGAGCTGCGGCAACCGGGAACTCCTCTGTGGGCTCAGTGACAGGTAGCCAGAACTTCTGGGGCAGCAGGGAGCAAAAGCAGGGGAAGCCGGGCTGGGAGATCTCCCACTTGGCCTTTGCCACCCCCAGGTTCCGGTATTCTGAAGATGACGTGGCCACCTATGTGGTGCAGCTGCTACAAGGTCTGGACTATCTCCATGGCCGCCACGTGTTACATCTGGACATCAAGCCGGACAATCTGCTGCTGGCCCCTGACAACACCCTCAAGATTGTGGACTTTGGCAGCGCCCAACCCTACAACCCCCAGGCCCTGCGACCCCTTGGCCACCGCACGGGCACGCTGGAGTTCATGGGTGAGGGGACCAGCTGCCAGCCGGGGGTGGGGGGGATTGGGTACTGCCAAAGGTGCAGCCTCCAGGGCTCACCCCACTTCACATACGTATCTACCATTGGTTGTGTGCTTACTGTATGCAAGCAATGAACTAAGTTCTGAACGTGAATTTTTAAAAATGATTTTCACAATGGCCCTGGAGTTTGGCAAAATATTACCTACTTTTTACAGATGAGGAAACAGAAACACACTGAACTTAAGTGTTTGTCCAATCAATTATAAATGGTAGAAGTGAGATTTGCTAAGACTGGAAAGACAGGAGAATCTATTATTATTTATATAAATAAGGAAAACCAGCTGCCATTCAGCTAGCTCCTAAATGTTTGATGTTTATTATCTCTATTCCTTAGAGCTATTCTACAAGCCCCACTTTACAGACCAGACAATGAGGGTTTAATAAATCACCCAGAGTCCCATAGCTAAGAGGGGCAGGCCTGGGATTAAAGCCAGCCAGGTTGGTTTCAAAGGCTTTTAATCTTGATGTTGGCCACTCTCTTATTAAATGGGAGTCCTACCTCGGAGCTGATCCAGGGGAGCTAAATGACCCTGCTTCTCCACTCCTCTAGAGTTCTGGGGACCTCCATCATTCAGTGTCCAGGCTAATTCCTCAGATGGCCCATATCTCTCCTGGGAACCACTCCTGCTTCTGTCCTATCTGCTAATATCTAAGGCCTACTGTTGTGATTGCCCCCATAGTCTGGTGACTTGAGCATTATCCTGCTCCTCAAACCCCCAAGAACCTCCCTGCCTCTTCCTTCTCCCCTATCACTGGGAAGCTGGGTCAGCTTGGCCTCTGTCTCCTCTAGCTCCTGAGATGGTGAAGGGAGAACCCATTGGCTCTGCCACAGATATCTGGGGAGCAGGTGTGCTCACCTACATCATGTAAGTTCCCTGGGCCCTGCTCCAGCCACTTCYGCTCTCTTTCTGCCTACACATTCTCCTTCCTGTCTTGCCTCCCTAGCACATCCCTAGGTACAGGTTGGTACTGTGCCCCCCAGCATCCCCACATGAATGTCCCCCAGGCCTGGGAGTTGACCCTCAGTCCATTAAGGTAGAAAAGCAATGAGTGGCAGATTTGGGGCTATTTCAACTTATCTGTCTTCTAAAACAGGCTCAGTGGACACTCTCCATTCTATGAGCCAGACCCCAAAGAAACAGAGGCTCGGATTGTGGGGGGCCGTTTTGATGCCTTCCAGCTATACCCCAACACATCCCAGAGTGCCACCCTCTTCTTGCGAAAGGTTCTCTCAGTACATCCCTGGTAAGTGGACCCYCTACCTGCCAACCCCTTCTGCCTTACCTGCCCCTGGCTACAGACTGCCCTGGTCCCACCTGGCCAAAGATCCCCAACTACTTCCCTGCCTTAACAGTATATTCCTGTTTCTGCTTCTGGGCAGTCGCATTATTCTCCATTTAAAGTCCCTAACAGCCCTTTGAGAGGCAGAATCACCAGCCTCATTCCAGACACTGGGAAACTGAGCCCTGGGGTTGTCTAGTATCGCACACATGGTGGTGGAATCAGGATTGACGTGTGGATCGGGGGAGGACAGAGCCCAAGGACATCGGGAGTCATCAGTTCTGGCTTACTGTCCCTGGCTTGGCCTGGCAGGAGCCGGCCTTCCCTGCAGGACTGCCTGGCCCACCCGTGGCTGCAGGATGCCTATCTGATGAAGCTGCGCCGCCAGACACTCACCTTTACCACCAACCGACTCAAGGAGTTTTTGGGTGAGCAGCGGCGCCGCAGGGCTGAGGCCGCCACCCACCACAAGGTGCTGCTCCGTTCCTACCCTRGCAGCCCCTAGCAGCATGGACCACAGCCTGGCCGTGGGCTTCAACTTGGGGTTCCCACCAATGTCAAGGGACATTCCAGGGCCCATGCTGAACCGGGTGGGCCCAGGGCTTCGGATACCACCAGCAGCAACATCTGGCCGGGTTATTACCTCATGGACCTGCAGGGATAGAGGCTCTAGGGCTTCGGCCTGATGCCACTCCCAGCCAGAGCCAGAGCAGAAGACCCATTGGGCAGGGGTGGGAACAGAAAGAGGGACAAGAGGGATTGAGGAAGTGAAGAGGAAGATACAGAAGACAGGCAGAGAGACTCTAGGAAGGTTCTGGGGGTGGGAGGCATATTGCATCTCAGGGAGAATCCAGGAGGGTGAGAGTCTGGAGAGGAGGACAAGGAAGGAGCCCAGGTGTCAGGGACACAGGCTGAGAATGTCAGTGAGGCAGGGACTGGACACAGAGACAGTACCAGGAGTCCTGAGCCAGGGTGTGAGAGAGGGCAGCAARGTGGGAGGAGAGGACAGCAAGCTCAGGGGGGACGAGGGGAGGGATGGGCCAGCAGCGGCATCTCCAGAAGCAGAGAAGAGAAATGCTGAGAGCCCCAGGCAAGTGGCCATGCAAGCAGTCCTTCTGTCCCAGCGGATGCAGCTCTGGGCGCTCTCTGCTGGCCCAAGGATGTCCCCACTGTCCCTCCATGACCTTTGCCTTTCCTGTTCATATTTATTTATTTATTGACTTTTATGAAGTTTTCCTTTCCATCTAATCCCTATTGCCCATGTTGTCCTGACCATTCCCCCAGCCATCCAGCTGTCTGTGCAGCTCTCTGTCTGTCTGTCACAAGGAAAATAAAAACAGCAAGCAGCAGGACCTATGTGTGGTCTCTTGGGGAGGGCTGGCTAGTGGGGACTGAGTTTGGGGGCAAAGGCATTTGTCCTTCTCTGGGCCACTGAAGACACATTCAAGGGTATATCAGCTCTTACCCTGGGACCTCCTACCCTGTCCCCTGATCCTCAAGGCCCCTTACCCCTCCTTATTCCTAGAGAGAAGGGAGACTACCRTCTGCTTCTCAATCCATAGTTTCTAGAAAGCTTCCAATCCTACTGAACCCCTCACCCACAACCTCTAACTGGATTCTGGTAACCCCACCTCTGCTCATTGTCCCCTCATCATAACTTGAGGAATGCTGGCTCTGGAATGAACTAGCTTATCCCAGTCCTGGCTCAGCTTCCTTCACTCTGGTCCTGTGCCCTGGGATAGTGGGGTTTCATCCTGAAGATTGGCAAGAGGAGGCTGGGTAGAGAGCTACAGGAGAAACCCGAACAAGCCCCAGCCTCACTCAGGCTCCCAGTGTTAACAGACAGAGCGGAACACATGGAGCAGCTGTGGGTACTTGACACACTAGCCTGGACCTTCTGGTCCTAGTGGCAAGTTAGGTCTGCTGTCTGCTAACGCACCCTGACTCTGGCCACTCACCTGCAATGCCACAGAATGGTTATTGATCCTAGAACTGAGCTGCTCTGCCCTGGAATGAGTAGGGAGAGTGAAGCCAGGCTTCCTTGTGTCTAGAAGGATGATTCTCCCATTGAAAACTCTGTTGCTGGCAAAGTAAAAGGAACAAAGCCTCCAACCATGAGCCGAGAGACTGGCATTGTCATGTGATTGATTGAGTCTGAGGGCCCCTTGGCTCCAGCTTCAACTGCCCTTTGCCCAGCCCAGCCCAGCCTCTGTGGCTTCTCAGAACCACAGGGAAGAGACAAGCCCCATCATCATAAACTAACTGGATGTTAAAACCAGCTGGAAGGGATGAGAGAGACACCTTGCCCACTTGTCATTTTAGTGATGAAGATATACAGTTTGCCTGTGAGATTCTCCAATCTCCTACATGCTGCAAATGTTTTGTATAAAAATGAGGTGCCTGAACTCATATCTTGATAAATGGTAAAATTTCTTCCCCGTCCCCTTTCTGATCTGGAGCTCCTTTCCCATCTCCATTGGAAATGGCATGTGAACTGTTTATTCCAAACCTGGAGGAGCAAAGGTAATTTATGTCAGTAGAGCTGTGTCAAAATTGTTCTGATCAGAAGGTGACAGTGTGGGCTGGGTGTGTAGTTCAGTGATAGAGCTTGTCTAGCATGTATGAGACCCTGGGTTCCATCCCCAGCACCACAAAATTATAAAAAAGAAAGGGACAATGTTCCACACCTGGTCAGATAGTTACAATTAACAGAAGCAAAGCTCCTACCTGGGCCCCTACACTGATAGACTGAACTCCAGGCATGCCCCTGAGGAATTTATGTGAACCCCTTCACCCCAGATAGTCTGGTGAAACTATGCACTAGTTTAAGCCTCAAAAGGGCGTGGCATACCTAGGGTTGGGGACTCAGTAGTAGTACTAATCTCCAAGGACCTCACAGATCAGCCAAACCCTACCTTGTCATATCCAGGGGAGTGAGTGGGGATGGCAATGTCATGGGAGAGGTTGTTCTCAAAAAATCATTCCTGTCCTCTCTGGATTTACCTCCATTTACCACCAGGGGGCACAGTACAAAATGACTACCGCAGACTCCTGGGGTAAGGATGCGGGTAGGGGAAGAGTAAGGCCTTTCCCGATTGGTCTTGACAGCCACTTAGCCCTATCATGATTGGCTATATGAACCACGAAGTCCGAGGCTACTCTGGCTTCATTCCGGGACACCCACAAAAACACTTGCACCCCCTTAACCTACCATGCGGGAAGCACAAATGTGGGATTACATGGAAGCTGAATTGAATGTTAACTGCTCCAGCGGTGAGCTGAGTCTCTTTCTGGCTAGGGACCATGACTGGTCCCCCAGGGAGTGGGATGGATACCCCAGTCCTGGGAAGGGATGGGGCAGCATCCAGTTGTCCAGCTGTCCAGGCGCTGACATATAGTGTACCCCAGAGCCGCTCGAGTTTCCCCTCCTGGGCCTGTACCAGCAGCTGAGCCAGCATCCCAGGCATCCTCAGGCTATATAAGGAACCTGCTTGAGTCAAGGGGCGGGGGCTGGGGTCCCGGGGGGCTTGAGGCAATCACCCCAAACAAGGCAAGGAAGAGAGCTATGTATAAAACCAGGGCCTGGGGCTGATTACCTGCCTGCACCCTTACTGTGCCATCAGAAGGGCTCTGGGCCGCTTGCAACCAGCCAGTCGCCTGAAGTCCCAAAGTCAACCCCTCCAGGGTGAGTTCACTCCCCAGAGAAGCCTCAGATATTCCCATCCCCCAGGATGTTTAGATCGGGCAGGAAAAGGGCTGAAGAGCTTCTGGCTCAATCCGGATCCCATGTTCATTGTCCACTCACCAGATGTCCAAAGCAGCTCCTGCCAAAAAACCAGCAGCCCCACCTCCAGGATGTACCCTGGATATTAACGACCCTCAGGTTCAGAGCGCTGCCATTCGCATCCAGGCCTCTTACCGGGGCCACAGGTGAGGAGGCCACAGGTGAAGGGTACCCACCTGGAGCCTTCAACAGGAAGGAAGCTGTAGCTTCCTGAATTGGGGTAGGGGTGTGCCCTTGAGGACATCACCAGGGCCACTGGATTTCAGGAAGGGAGGTTACTGAGTTGCAGCCAGATGGCTGGCAAAAGGGGATCATTTTATTAGGGTTAACAGTGCAGGGACAGCCCCCTTCCTATCCACTCCCATTTCCCTGTTCATGGATGTGGTGGGCCAAGGGGGTGGGCAGGAGACAGTGTGAGGGAGGACTGGGTTGGAGAAGGGCAGGAGCCATGTCATGGTAGCTCTGGGTCCTGACCGCGCCCGCGGGGTAGGTCCAGGAAGGAGTTGCGCGAGAAGGGGCCGCCGCGGGTGCTGGAGCCACTGAAAGACGTGGTGCTGATCGAGGGCAGCGCTGCCAAGTTGACTTGCCGCATTTCGGCTTTCCCTGACCCGTTCATCCGCTGGAGCAARGATGGCAAGGAACTGCGCGACGGGCCCAAGTACCGCTATGTCTTCGAGGACCCTGACGTTGTGGCACTGGTGGTGCGCGACGGCGAACTAGCAGACCTGGGCCAGTATAGCATCAACGTAACCAACCCTTTCGGCCAGTGCTCAGACTCGGCGCGCATCCTCGTGGAAGGTACGCGACCTCCGCGCAAGCCAGGGCGCCAACAGCACCACCCCGAGGGTGCCTGCAGCTGGGTCCAGACCCGCGCAGTAATTGCTGGGCCTAGCAGAATCTGGGTAKGGTTCTGGCGAGTTTATCAGCCTGGTTCGCATCGCCGCTCTGGCAGTGGACATCTTTCCCTATCTCGGGATCTGGCCCCACCCGGGCTGAGAAGTCAGCTGTGGGCTTTGATCACAGGATTCCAAGGCCCCAGGGTCAAAGGACGAGGCAGAGGCATAAACAAGGTTAGAGTGGGTTTTCCAGCTCGCAAACCAGAGCAATTTACACCACTCAGAGCTGCCTGTAAGGCACATTAGATATGTGAACATTCCCAAATTTCCACCCGCTGTATCTCTTTTGATCTCTCTTCAGCCCCTTGAAGTAGGAGGTTCAGGGATGAGTTCCCTTTAACAGCTAAGGAGATGAAACCAGAGACTAACGATTTGTTCTATGTCACCGGGAGTTTAAATGCACCTTGTTTTTTAATTAATTAATTTTTTTAATGCACCTCGTATTTAGAGCTGGATATTAGCTGAGAGGTGAGGCCACTGTCCCACCTCACCTCACGGGGTCGTGTTCCCCTCCCCTTCCTCTAGTACCCGCTAAGATTCAAAAGGGACCGGACAACACTAAAGCACGCAAAGGCACCACGGTAACGCTGACCGCGGAGATCATGGGAGAGCCTCCACCAGACGTGGGTTGGACTAAGGACGGGGAGGACATCGAGGAGGACGACAGGCAAGGGCCAGTACCTGAGGACAAGGGCCGGGCCTGGTGCTGGAATCTGGCGGAACTCTGCCCAGAAACCAGCTGGGAGAGGGTTGAGGGAGAGGAACTGGGAGGCAAAGAACAGGGCTGGCTAATTAGCCGGACCCAGTACTCCTGTAAACTGACCCGCAGCCCCGCCTCCCTCTGCCCACTCCTTCCCCAGGGTGTTCTTCGAGATCGGTACTACCACCACGACGCTGACCATTCGCCGGGCCACACCTCAGGACAGCGGCAAGTACGAAGTGTACGTGGAGAACAGCCTGGGCATGGATCAGAGCTTCGCTCGCGTGGACGTGGCCTGAAAGGGACCCTCAAACCTTTCGCCCTGGCTTCAAGCCTAGGGGTGGGTGGGGACCGACAGCCCTCCTCTTCTTGCTTAATAAAGCTGCTCTCTGACCCTCCGTGTCTATTCGGTTCTTCAGCGTCGCCATTCTCTCCCCCGCCCCCTGTCCCCACACTTATTCCAGGCCCACAGGCCAAGGTCACAAAATGCTGGAGTCAAAGGGAAGCTTGGAGAGTGATTAGTCCATGCTTCATTTTACCGAAAGTAAACCCGAAATAGAATTACTCTCACCGTGGGACTTCCCAGAGGGACGGGCAGTGGAGCTGACTCCGCCCTCTCATCCTGGGTTGGCTCAAGCCCCACCCTCTCGTGGCTGCTCGAGCTCTGGCCCGCCCCTCCCTCGACTGGTCGTTCCCTCGGTGGTCTCCTGTGCYACTTTCCGCCACTTTCTACTTCTCCACTTTGGCCGCAGTCCCTGGGTCCATTCCAGGACAGCTCCGGTCCCAATCTTAGGTTCCAGCCTCTGCTTCTCAGGTCCCCTCCTTCTCATTTAGGCCGCCCCTCGATCCCTTGGCTCTGCCCCCTACTTCTAACACCGCTTTCCTTCGGTCTCACAAAGTTAGAAAGGGGAGGGATCTTCGGAACTACAATTCCCGGCAGGCCCTAGGAAGGAGCTCTCGCGAGTTGCGAGA